TTGACTGTCGACTGTACCGTTTATTTATGACTTAATGGAGAAACACTACGACAAACTTGCAGCCGCAATTTTAAGGCAACAAAAGCCTCAAGTTATTCCTAAGGCTGCCATAAATTCTTCAGATCAAGAGAAAGGCCCCTCCCCTTTTGGGGGTACATTTTTGGTCCATCGCATGAACTGGGGGGTACGTTTTGGTTATTGACACTTTTGGGGAGGGGTACATTTCTAATATGCCCGCGTGAGTTGGTAAAAAAAAATTACCAGCCCGTCCCTCTTAGCCATAGATAACGTACAGTCCCTTAGAAGAGAGTGACAAAAAGAAAAAAGACGAAGAAAAGAAAGCATTTTCTCGAGAAACTGCAGCGGAGGAAAGAACACGCGCCTGTCCGAGTACACCCTTTTTTTTATATAAGAATGTTGTTTTTCCCGCCCAGGCTGAATATTCTTATTTTTCTGCCGATTTTAGGCCGAAAATATTCTTGTATTATTCTTAAATTATAGCTTATGACATTTCCGTTTTAGAATTTATTGGGGTATATGTATATGTATTACATGTACCGTTCATCGAACTGTCATTAGCGTTGAACATTTTGCTATAGCTAGTGCAGGTTTTTTCGTTTTGTTGGCTAGTTTTTATACGGTTTTTATAAGGTTAAGTTAAAAACATAAAATTGTATTATATTTACAGACGTTTCAACACACAAAATTATATCTATCCTTTTCAAAATCTCAGCCTTGGCTTTATTCTTAAAATATTCTTAAAATTTCGCAAATTTCAGCCTCAATATTCTTATAAAATATATTCTTATAAAAAAAAGTGTACTGGGATTGTTGTTTTACCTCTCAGGTGACTTGAGAGGGTCATCATTATTGACCCTAAGCAACAAATTCCTTCCCGAGAGTCGGAAATAAGAAACCGCAAGTTCATCGTTAACTTAGCTTCTCTAACTTAGTCTGCTTTTTCTGTCTTATTTTTTTTGGTACGATAATTCTTTCTGTATTGAGCCACGAATGTTGAAGGGTTTTAAAAAAAATATGTGGCCGGGGTAACCGCACAGGAAAGAAGCAAAACACAACTGAAGTGAGGTTAGCCGATTTTTCTGATTTTTGTCCTTTCATATTCTTAGTCTACAGAAACAATCGTTTTAGTCTCCAGAAAAATCCTTATAATTTCGATGGTTACACAACAATGCCGATGGACATGCTTCCGAGTTAGAGCCACTTTCATTTAGTGCCGGGAATAGTGTGGGGACTGATATCTCGATAATAGTACGGAAAGCACGAGGTCACACTATGATTAGTAAAGACCTTGAAACTCTACTTCATCTCTGTCACACGTAACCCGTATGACTCATGTGGTCGACACGTTCCTTGAACAAAAGCTTCACAGTAATGATGCAAAGGAATTTTTCTAGTTACTCTTCACAAGCGAACGGTAATCACCGGGACAGAGTAGGAATCTTGGTTTCAGTAACTACTGACAATGTTATTTCTTCACATCGGAAAAGGATATTGATGTATTGAAAGAGCTCACAGAAAAAAGAAACGAAATTTCTCAGTTTCGGTGTGAGGATTCATCAAGCAACAATTATAGCACTAAAGGAAGACAGTCTTCCCTGCGTTTTATGTAACTTTGGTTCATCAAGCAGGCCGCACAAGAACTGACTATACGAAAAAGGAATTCCACCCTGTCTCTGGTCTCTGTAGGACAAAGGTTACCGAAAGTAATCTCCAGAGTAGTCGAAAGGTCCATGATCTTAGGCTCAGTTTTGTTTAAGTGGAAGTCAGCTATTTTCTTTATGGATGCGGTCTCCAAAAACAAGCTCCTTCTATTCTCAGCAATTACACTGCTTGTGACGGTCAGTCATATTGATGCCAAGAATTGCACTACAATGCTTGATTTTGGCGGAGCGTATGGTGAGAAACTTCCCGACAATGTCAATGTGTTCAGGAATGCCAGTTGCAGACTGAACGACCACTGTTCAGCTTCTCATGTCTGCTGTTCTAGTAGATGCATAGCAGCTAGGAACTGTTTACAGCAATCTTGCTCCAAAGACCACGACTGCCAGTTGAACGAGACCTGTTGCTACGGCTTTTGCAAACGATATAGCGACTGTGTAGATGTTGTCATGATCGTTATTTTATGCGTTGTGTTCATCACAATGCTCACCTTTTGTTCCTGTGCATGTGGTAAAATACTGTCCAACCCCAAGAAGAAGCAGTGTTCTTCTTTTTTCCTTTCGTCACAAATGACATTAAGCAATAGTTTTATCCGCACTGGAAGAGCATTCAATTTAGAAGGATTCACCGACGATGTCTTTAGGTTGTATGGTTCTCCCCCAAATAACAAGGGTTACTTGCTTTCGTCCAAAAGTAATGCTCTTCTCAGTTATGATAAACTAAACATAGACGCTAAAGGAAAAAATAAACCCGGCATCGCTCAGTATGGTTCTACTTGCGTACCAGTGCCATGACATGGTCAGTAAACAACAAATTCGGACAGGCGGCCGGGTTGCGTTGCGTTTTCAACGATCTAAGGCCTTGCCCCATCACTTGGTGTAAGAACCACTTGCTTTTAAGTACTGAAGCAGTTTTCTTCAAGCAGAGAGCATATATTTTCCCAGTATAATCACTCCGCTTGTGTTGCCTTTGATATTATGTAAGGTTTATTTGAATCTTTTGCCCCGGATTAGGAACAAAACTTGGCGTTAGGTCAATCGTGGTTCACAATGGCTTGAAGCATTTCCATTTTTCTGAAACTTGTACCTTGTTAGATAAATACTTAACGTTGAAATGACTGTATGCTCTGTAATACTTACCTTAGCAATAGCGTGACCTTTAACTTAGCTAAAAGTTCTTATACACAAGCCAACTTTATATTCCAAAATGGCAGCATTACCACTTCCCTTTAATAATTTTTGGTGATTAGCCCTCTTTGCCTCGATTACATTGGCAAAATTTCAAAATAAATTTACCTCGAAGAGAGGCATCGAGGGCCAATTATCAACAAGGCAGAAGAATTGGATTGTGGATTCCTCGCCGTGGAATTCCGATTCCAGGTACTGGATTCCGACCGAATACCTTGTCAGTGGGACTTCGGATTACTGATCGCAATCATCAGTGGGATTCCGGATTCCAAAGTTCGGGATTGTTCGGATTCTAGGAGCAAAAACTTCCCGGATTCCGGATTCCGCAAGCAAAAATGATACCTGGATTCCTTTTCATGGGACGAGGACGCATAATAATTAGTATTGGCTTTGCATAAGTGTCATAACAAGATTTACTTATTATTCTCACAGCTCGCTTGTGCCGCAACAGGATCACCCCTTATAATCAGTTTTTTTTGTGGAGGGGGGTGGGGGAGGGGAGCGGGGGCGGTAATGGGGTGGCCTCAGTGATTTGAGAAGAAAAGAAATTAGGGTAGGAATGGTTTACATATAAATCAGTTCGTCTGCTTATAAGCTGAGAGGTACCCTGTTTTGGTGGTAAGACTATCTGGTCTACTACCTTCTTCATATTTCAATTTTCAACAACCCCTAAATCCAGTATTTTCCAATGGCCCTAATTCTAACCAGGAGCTCCTGTTCTAGCCACTCTCCCCCCCTCCTCAATTTCTATCTGCTATTTTTAAAAGCATTCGAAAAATCATCCAAAAATTCTCACACGTTTATTGAACCAATTTCTTACATAAACCTGCGAATCAGGCTAGTGAAGGTCTTAGAATGAAATCTTTACTAGATTGGGAAGAAAAAAGGGCAAAGGGCAGAAAGAAACGAAAAACCAGGCTTTTGACCAGAATTCCCCCAATGCACGCCCAAAAACAGCTTTCTTTTCCTCGATGAACGCTAAAATCACAAAACTGTACTGTCACATGGGCGACAATTTTCCGTTGTTTCTTGTTAATTATCAGACTTCTCGTTTTCTTGAGAATTATACATTGACAGCCTGTTGGCTTGGAACCAGGAGATTAATCTAGACAACTCAAAATTCACTTTCTGAAAGAGAATATCAGGATTCTTAAGGGAAAAGAAAATATTAGTATCATGGGTAAATAAAATAAAGTCCATAATAGCCTGCAGAACAGTCGTTAGTCAGTTTTCGCCATTTACAGTCGAGCGAAGGCAAGCGCGAAGCGAGCCAGGAGTGGGAGACACGTGCGAGCCTTTTCCCGTCGCGCGTGTAGCCCGCTCTACGCCAGCCTCTGCTTCGTTCACCGGAAGATCACGAAAAAATAGCGCCTGGTCTGCAGGCTCAGTCCATAATAGAAAATTGAAGACAGTAGATAGCCATGTTTAGTTGAACTCAGTTGAACTTCAGTTAAAACGTGAACATGCGCCAGGGTTGTGGTCCAGCGCAAGATAAGATAAAAACATTAAGGATTATCTGCATGCAACTGATATATTTACCTGTGTGGGAATAACAGATCATAGTTTTAACAGATCTTAGTTTTTCTCAGAAATTCATGTGTTTTATTGTGTTCCTGAAGCCACAATAGGAGACAAACACATTGCTAATACTAACATATGCTTCGTAAAAAATAACAACTGCAGTGAGTGACTATTTTTATTATTTTGCAAGTAAATTGTCAATCATAAATATGGTACATCTTATACTCGATGAATCAGCCCAGCTGAAATATCAAACAAAATCATATTAAATTTTTCAAGTTCAAGATTACCGAGGTATTGAGGTCACTGATAAGCCAGATTTAATGCATCAACGACTGTACCTTGCTTAATGATATCAAACAAAAAGTCAAAACATCGCCCTTCGGTCGGCTTCCAATTTAATTTCAACATGATATTAAAAGGATTTGATAGGTGTTAAAATTTAAAAAGAAGAGCTATAAGAATAGCTGCGTACACTGTATACGTGTAGAAGTATGTTAAGACCGGGCCGTGTATTCCATTGTTTCGTTTCCAGGCCTTATCAGGCTTTGTTTCTGTGACGCGTGTCGATATTCTTCTCCTCTTGGTCGGGAAAAAAGAGAAATCTACCATTGTTTTTGATGGAGAAAGAGAATTATCGAGAGCTGAAACGCAAACGTTAGCAATAGTGCCGTTGTATTTTTCGAAATTCAGGCGATAGAAATTCCCAAGGCGCAAGTGCTGGGAGTTACTCGTGAATGAAGGTACAAAATAGAACAGCTCGCGACGTGTAGCCACGGAGTTGTTCTGGCCTGTAGCTTGAACTATGGTGTAGTTACAGCCTGTGTTATTTCTTATATGCATATCCTCACAGAAATCCCAGTTAATGGAATAGGAAATTGCCTCTTGCAGAGTTGAAAAGTTTAGTTTTGTACTTCCATAGATACCGTGAATGATGTTTTGTGTGTACTCTTCACAGCTTTTCGAGTTTACGGCTTGACTAAGGCTCATCAACATCTCCTTGCTATATTTAGTGAAGATTTTGATGTCCGAGGTTTCTTGAAAAGGCTTGCATGAAAGCTTCCAAGCAGCGCACATTCTTAGTTGATCAGACTCTATTGATTGTTTGCAGAAGCATTCAGCAGAAATAGGCTTGCCAATGAAAGAGAAATTTTGCATGGGTTGATTCTGAGCCACACATGGGGATGAAGGAGCGCTGGATCGGTCTTGGATTTGAGCTCTCACCTCTGAATACGCTATCAGAAACCAGACTGCAAAATAACTTGCTAAGGTTAGCCCCAAACGATAAGAGAATGGCTCCTCCATTTCACTTAAGGACAATCACTCCGTCAACTTCTACGACGGAGACCTCGCGAACCCTCTAAGGAAGCCGGGCAAAGATGAAAAAGATCTTCCTACGGCAACAGCTTTCAAAGATATCACGAAACTAACAATTTAAGAGATACACAAGATACGCAACCATCAAATACAAACCCGTCTTTGAACAAAAACACGTCACAAAATGAGACAGCTTTTTCAAAACAACGAGCAATCTGATCCATAGTTTTTGCATGTTTTTGCCGCACCTCTTCATTTGTTGTAATTTCTACCCTCCGTGAAGTCACCGTGACGTAACGTCTTGCCACGAAGAGGCAAAACAAAGATACAAACGCTGTAAACAGTGCTCAGTTTGTTAAACTACTATAGGGAATCATCGAATCGAACTCCTGCAAAGTATCAAGCACATAACGCTGGGTTTTGAGCGGGTAAGGGGAAATGTGGCAGGGGGAAATAGCCTGGGGAAGGCCGGGTCTTATCCGCTGGGTTACTACTACTTCACGGGGGCCGGACAAAAAAAGAAATTACTTCCAGACAAAGAAAATATCGGAAATGTTTGGGTAAGAAAAATTCAAGGTATTGATATTTTGGTAATACGGGGGAAATAACAACGAAGTACAAGCTAAAAAAAGAAACACTAGCCTGCGCAGCAGGCGCCTAGGGAAGCAGAGAGAAATCTCGAGGACGCGCGAGGGGAAAAAGGGTAAGAAACACACGCAAGGTCTCATGACGACCAGACGTGTAGATTTGAGCTCCGGGTTAAAGGTTTCTGAACTAAAGGGAAAACTTGCAAAACTTGGCCTTAGCTTCCTACTCAAGGCACCAGAGACATACTCAGGGGACGATTAGCCAGCTTTTTAGCCTTTTTAGACGCTGAGGGTAACTAAGAAGATGATTTTCTTACCGATAATCCGCCGAATGAAACTGAAATGGCCATCGCTTTCCCGACGCAAGTCACCGTTCCCGTTGAACTTTTCGCTTCTGGCACTAACGGCTTATTAGTATTCAGCCCCGGGGTATTCAGCTCACAAGATTTAGAAGCCTTCGATATCAGAGCTAAGCTCAATTCTGTTTGCGAGGAAATTGAGCTTCTGAAATTAACATTTGAATTGTTCAGGGGTACCCAACGAGGATATAGTTCAAAACCACTTAACATAGCATTGTTGAACGTATTTTAGTATTCAAACGGTAGATATAGGCATATTTTTATCCCCTAAAAACTTTTCATCTGTTCGGATTTCTTAGCTGAAAATCTATTGATCCGAAAATTATAGGGATTAAAACTTACCTTCTCGAAAATTTCGAAAATTCTAGGTGGCCTTTTTTAGGCTCAAAATCCGTTAAAAATGGGAGGTGTTCGAAAATTTCCGAAAATTCTAGCTCTCAAATCGTCTTCCGAACAGATATTTTTCCGAAAATTGCCGTTGGGTGCCCCTGATTGTTGAAACGGTCGACTGATCTTTCTGCCAAGACTGGCCAAGTCGAAGCTTTGGAAAGGAAGAACGTGGCTCTAAAAACCAAACTCAAAGGAGCAGAGGCTGAAAGAGACTCACTTAGACCGGCACTGGCATTTCTAGCGAAAGACTGGAAGCCTTTAATCTGCAATCACGATTCAACCGAAAAAAGAAATTAAAAGTCGCGAGAAAGAAAATGTCCCTTGGTAGCTGGACGAGGTGAAGAAGAAAAAGAACACACAAGCTTTGCATTCGAAAGAAAATGCCACTAAGGATACGAAACCCGATATTACTTTCTAAATTAAGTACCTACTTTATTCAAGAAAACGCTCAGTACAATTGGTTTAAGTCGTTTTTAAAAAATCGAACTCAAATATGTTTTGTTAGCGGTTCACTTTCCAAAACCTGCTCCCGGCACCATATTGGGTCCTCTATTGTTTTGTTATACATAAACGACTTACCAAAATGCTTATCTAACTCTTATCCTAGAATGTATGCCGTGGAGTACGCATCTTAATAACTACGCTGATAAGGATGTGACTATCCTTCACTCCTGTTTGAATGAAGATTTGCAAAGTATCATCACATGGCTGATCGCAAACAAACTCAAACTTAATACGACTGAGTTTGTGCTAATCGGCTCGAGACAAAACTGCATCTCTTGTTCTGAATATCAATGGTACTCCGGTAAACCAGGTGTGGTATAAAACTAGCAGACAAAGAGATTACCTTGCCTTACCTTTCCTAAGAAAAGGAGTGGAGATCAGTCCTCTCCCTTTCGCGTGTTCCCCTCACACGGTAGGCTGCTACGCAGGCTAAAGAATGACGTCACAAAGATAGTTTCAAACGTTGTTAAAGTGGCTATTCAGTCGCCTTTAAATGACAAGCGCTATTGGCTTCACGAGTACAGTCCGTAGCCAGGTCGATCTGTCTAATACATGATGTGTTTTTGTTTTTTTTAAAAAAAACAACTCAAAGTGAGTGGCTGTGGTCAATAAATGTAACGTCATCCAAACCTTCAAGAAAAAATAGATGTCCGTGAACATTTTGCCTGAAATTTATCGTCCGAACATTTTTCATTCAAACATCTTTGTAGAGGGACCTATGTGAAAAATATTAGTTGTGAATGGAGAGAAGGAGTAATAACGTCGAGAACCCTCGATGTGGTCTGGTGTAGAGTCTGTGGAGTAAACCCTGAGTGGAAATCATTCTCCTCCCCAGAGCCCGTCGTTTCTTTGGTCACCTGGTCTTGAAACGAGGGACTCCACTGGTCGGTTGCAAATTAAGTTGAGTGGCTCTGGGGACGAGAATGAGTAAAGATCATCGACGCGCCCAGCCGCACGAGAGAAAAAGAATTCTGGTACCGAGGTTAAGAAAATAGCTGTTGTAGAAAATAAGACATTTAACAAAATTCCAGCTTCGTGAACTTTTAAAATGTATTCTAATATAAAAGTTGACGTGTTTCTTGCAGTTTAAGTATCAGAAGTTGCGTGCTCAAATACTGCCTAATATAGAAATAAGCGACCTAGTCAGAAGATATTGTCAAGCTAGATCGATCGTTCAATGGGTCATTTCAAGTCAGGGCAAAGAAAATCACACCAGGACTCGTGTGCCATGCACGTGCCACTCAAGAAGGGCGCTGAGACACGCCTAGAGCTCACGTGAGGCATGGTGGGACTGGGTCGAAGTGCTGAAAATCGCAGTGTGCGATTTCTACATATTTTCAACTTTGATCATACTTTTTCTGTATATTTTCTAAATTACAGGTAAAGAGTATGCGTTTTACACTACACTTACTGTTGTACTCGAACATAACACGACCTCGGAAAAAGTTAATAGCTGTGGCAAGCATTAAAAAACCGTTTCGAGGACTTTTAAAATGTTTCTAATATGAAAGTTGATTATGATCCTTGCAGTTAAATGAACAACTAAAGTAAATGATGAAGAACCTACAAAATAAGGAGATTGAAATGACTTTGAACTTTAGTGTGTAATAAATCGTTTCTGTGAACTGACGATGAGGATATTAAACTGAATCAAGGAATCATTGACAGTTTTTAAGATATTATTTATTTGATATATTCTAAGCCATTGGATTCATATATAACATAGTTTGTAATTTATGAAATGAGGTTGGCACCTCAGAAGCACGACTTTAACTCGTGCCAAGGCTCGTGCTCCGGAAGCACAGCGAAGCTTGTCGTGCAACACAAGAGCAGCACACTGTACCGTGACAAAGTTCTTACAAGGAATCTTATTTAACTCTTCGTTTTAGCTTCATTCGATCAATTGAGTTCGACACCTTAGTAGAACGACGTTTTAAACGGGCCTTTTTTCAAAATCATGCCGACAGCAACTAGTAAAACCGTCCACTTTGTTCGCCACTTCCAATCGACCTGGAACGAAGCAGAAGAGGAACAAAACCTGACGCGCTTCGACAAAGGACTACAGAGCGATGCTCTTTTGGATGCGCCCTTGAGCACTTATGGCAAAAAACAGGCGTTGACGATTCAACAGAAAATACAGGATCTGAATGCAGAAGTCGCCATCACTTCCCCTTTGAGTAGAGCAATCGAGACCTGTTTACTGACCTACGGAAATCAAAATGTGGTGGCTTCACATCTTTGTCGCGAGATAGGAGAATCGCTCTGTGACATTGGATCTCTGAAAGAAGACCTGGTCAAGAAGTATCCGACAGTTGATTTCAGCAGTGTGCCTCCAAAAGTTTGGTGGTATGTGGATGAAAATCTGAAGGGTCAACTGACAGATCCAAGAAAATGCTACGAATTTGTCCTAAGCAACGGAACTTGTAAGTTGGGAGAAACCTTCAAAGGAAGTCATTTTCAAGAAAGAATAGAGCGATTTCACGATTTCCTTCAAAACCGACCTGAGTCGAATATTGTAGTTTTCGCACACAGTGGATTTCTGCGAAGCTTTCTTGAAAAATATTATGGACGACCATTTGAGCAGTACTATCCAAATGGACAGATCTCAACTTACCATTTGTAACGGTGTTACATAATGTTATTAACGTTAAGCTAAAAGATTTGTCAAATCGATATTTAAGAAAGCGGTCTCCTTCGTCTCCTTTAGCACAGGAATATTAATAACACACTGATTTAGCTGATTTAGGGATCGAACAGTGGTAGATGCGATCATCTTTTTTAGGGGACAGGGTTGACTATCCTTTTCATCTTTTTTCTTCCTGCGAAAAAATAACAAAATCTCAGCTCAACTTATTTCTTCGCTTAACTATGAGGACTGATAAGACTTCAACTTGGAACATTTCATTATTTACTCAGGCTTTTGTATATATAATTAAAAAGACTTGAATCCTGTAAAAGGTGCGTTATTGTACATTCGTTATTGTACCCTCATTTATTGTTTCCAGAAACTTTTCTAATGAGGATCGCTGTCGCAGAACGGAAATTTTATAGGGGTTCAGAGATTTTGGCGATCGCTATTTAGGGGTCAAAAATAGCAATAAAATACATCAGAACGTCTTATCCTGTCTATTAATTTTATTTATGGTGTTTTCTTAGCATTTCTGGCCGTTTCAGGGTGACTGCAACGAGTTTTAGTTCTCTTCAGCCAGCTGTCCAGAGAGATCTTTTTTCCCTCTAACAGCCAAGGTATAACATATAGACCAGTAAAGAGAGAACTGAAACTTGCTGAAATCGCAAGACATCGCTAAAATTTCGATTCAAACCCTTCTAATATCTCTGTTATGCAACAACGATTTCCACTCGTGAGCTTGGGGTGCCTGTGACAGTACAGGGGTGAGACTTGGTCATGTAAGTAAGGGCGTGACTGCTTCATGTTTGGTGCTTAAAGTTATTTGATCGAGTAAGAGAATCCTACAAAAGCTAAGCTATGAACTTCAAAGCTAACGAAGGCTGAAGATTTCGAAAACGTGACCAATATGCTACTGGTTTACTTAACTTGTTTGAAAACTTATTCTAAAAGATTAAACACGGAAATTTCAGACTCGTTGGCGCTATTTGTTAAAACAACTTTGCTGTGCGCGGACGCAAGGCGTTTTGGCTAGCATTTCAAAGGGGATTTGATAAGATAATCAGACTCTGGAGGTGCTTGCTCTAAACCTATATTTTGCTCAAAAATTGCTCAGAAAGACAAAAAATCGCTCGAGGTTCTAGGACCGCAAAAACTGCTTGCTCTAAACGTCAAAAGTTGCTTAAAAGTTGCTGAGCACAATCGGGACAGGCTACTCATGTTCCAATCAAGAAGTACCTAGCAAACTCATCTTACCGGATATAACAATGCCTCAATACCCCATTAAGTCAGTTTTGAAACATAAAATGAGCCAGAAACATTTGGGGATTTGGGAACAGTGACAATATTGTTTCTCCCTTTCTTCTCATAAAAAAGCCTGATCGCAGGATACATGTACCCTCAACATAATCGTGAAGGACTTATCCCTAAAACGGATTCTTAGAGTTGGTCCCTTACTTTCTTTAATGTTCTTAGTTGACTCCATATAAGAGTTAATCCCTGCCTACCTTTACTCGTTTGCAGTTGATTCTCTGACGGACACCTCGAGTTGGTCTCTGCCTTTCTTTACTCCTTTTAGTTGACTCTCTACAAGATGGACACCTAGAGTTGGTCCCTACCTTTCTTTACTCCTTCTAGTCAACTCTCTATAAGATGGACACCTAGAGTTGGTCCCTACCTTTCTTTACTCCTTCTAGTCAACTCTCTATAAGATGGACACCTAGAGTTGGTCCCTGCCTTTCTTTACTCCTTCTAGTCAACTCTCTATAAGATGGACACCTAGAGTTGGTCCCTACCTTTCTTTACTCCTTCTAGTCAACTCTCTATAAGATGGACACCTAGAGTTGGTCCCTACCTTTCTTTACTCCTTCTAGTCAACTCTCTATAAGATGGACACCTAGAGTTGGTCCCTACCTTTCTTTACTCCTTCTAGTCAACTCTCTATAAGATGGACACCTAGAGTTGGTCCCTGTCTTTCTTTACTCCTTCTAGTCAACTCTCTATAAGATGGACACCTAGAGTTGGTCCCTGCCTTTCTTTACTCCTTCTAGTCAACTCTCTATAAGATGGACACCTAGAGTTGGTCCATGCCTTTCTTTACTCCTTCTAGTCAACTCTCTATAAGATGGACACCTAGAGTTGGTCCCTGCCTTTCTTTACTCCTTCTAGTCAACTCTCTATAAGATGGACACCTAGAGTTGGTCCCTGCCTTTCTTTACTCCTTCTAGTCAACTCTCTATAAGATGGACACCTAGAATTGGTCCCTGCCTTTCTTTACTCCTTCTAGTCAACTCTCTATAAGATGGACACCTAGAGTTGGTCCCTGCCTTTCTTTACTCCTTCTAGTCAACTCTCTATAAGATGGACACCTAGAATTGGTCCCTGCCTTTCTTTACTCCTTCTAGTCAACTCTCTATAAGATGGACACCTAGAATTGGTCCCTGCCTTTCTTTACTCCTTCTAGTCAACTCTCTATAAGATGGACACCTAGAGTTGGTCCATGCCTTTCTTTACTCCTTCTAGTCAACTCTCTATAAGATGGACACCTAGAGTTGGTCTCTAGGTGACTCTCCACTTTAGAGATCGGCGCGGTGCAGCTTCGCCCCGTTACAGAAATCACTCCGAAATCAGCGTTTTTACGTATGAACCAAAACGTTATCCAGCATGCCAAAAGCTATTCCGTGAAGTGTGAACCAACCTAAAACAGACTCATTTAACCGTTTTTATTCTACGGATGCATTATCCTTCTGGACGAACTTGGGCAAACATTTTGTAGGTAGTCTGGTTATGCGTCTAAGTATAAAGACGGGTACAAGACGCATTATGCGCCCAGACAAACTACCTATAGTAGTGCGTCCTTCAAGACGTATAGTTACGAAGGATAGTTCGGCCCTTTTTACACTAGAGACGGATTTTCCGTTGGATAATTCGCCTAAGAAGGATAATACATCTTAATGTGAAAATGAGACAGTTTTAATTTTGGATGAACAATCCGCTACCCTGGGTACCAGAGGTTTTTTCTCGCGTGCGACGGGGAGTTTCGTTTCGTCGGCCACAGGCCGACACGTGTTCGGCCGAAGGCTGAAGACTCGAGAGGAGAAGCCGCGAGAAAAAACCGCTTTTCGCGCGGGTCACTTTTTAAGACTTGACCGAAACCGCAAACCGCGCATGAAAAGCCTCTGGCACCCAGCGTAACAATCCGCCTGACTTTATCCGTTTCTCCGTCAATTTTGACGGATTTTGAGGATGGATAATTAGTCTCTAGTATGGAAAGGGCCCATGGGTCTTGTGCCACTCTTTATACCTGAGACGTATAACCAGACGAACTACAAAACGTTTGCCTAAGTTTGTCCAGACGGATAATGCCACTGTAGAATAAAAACGGCTATAGAAGCATTATGCGTCCGGGCGGGATAATACGTCCTCTAGTATAAAAACGGCCATTGTGCCGGCTTGCTGATGGTCACAGAGGTGTCCGTCCTGTATTATTGCGAAAGATACATGTGTACAGAACCAGACAAGACAATAAGTTTCTATTATATTTATTTTCATGAGGTGATAAAACTGCGCAATTAAGCAGAACTAGTTCATTACTGTTATTCTACAGGATGCCAAGACTTGACTGCATTCAAAAACTATTGACATCTGAAGAACGCATTACAACCTGTACAGAAACATATGTAATTAACTTAAGTCTTTGTAAACTTACATAACCTTCTACCGGGTTCGTACCCGTTTTTTAACAAAAAATTCAAGGATTTTTCAATTCAAGGACTTTCAGAACACATTACCCATTTTTCAAGGACTCCATTCAATGCACAAAAAAAAAGCCTTGAGTATTTGTTCCCTTTTAGTTCTTCCACAACATGAACAATTTTATCCTGAAATTCTTTCTGTTTGCCCCTTTTAGGTACTTGACAATCCGGGTTGGACAAAATTAGCACCAAAATTCAAGGACTTCCACCACCGACTGCAATTTTAAACGACTTACAAGGTGTGTGCGAATCCTACTTATATTGCTATCTCTACAGCCTTCTTTTTGGTATTTTATCGGTTAGAATATCCCTTAAGTTTTTACATCGCAGTTTCTTACTTTCAACCTTATATTGGGGCAATATCCATACATGAAATACACCATGGGTTGTCACTGCATTGTACATCTGTATCTATTCAGTACCGCGCAGCTTAAATCAATTCCTTGGCATCTCTTTTTTTGGATAGACTGGGGTTCATGTACAAATTTGTACAGTACTTAGAATTACAGTGGACCCTCCATAAAACGAACCTCTCTATAACGAAATTTTCGATATAACGAACGATCTTCTTTACCCCAATAATAGTAAAATAGATGAAAAAGAACCTCGATACAATGAAGCCTCGTTATAGTGAACAAATTTTGTCAGTGTCTTAGCCCTTTGTTAAATCGAGGTTCCACTGTACTATTGGTATTGTTACACATATCGAGCTTAAAATGTGATCTATTCATTCTACAGAGCTGATAAGATAGCAACACTGGAAAAAATGAAATCCAGAAATCCTTTTTACGTCAACTAATTACTAACTTTGGCAGTAGCGCATGACTAATATGAGGCAAGAGAATAAGTCTCGGAGGCAGGATCACCTACAGAACAAAGCTGGATAAGAAGAAGGGATTTCTGGAGCAAGAAGGGAGAATTACATCGAGTCAAGATGAGAATGCCTAGGAAAGCTACTGGATCTGTTCACACAGAGCACTGCTCTTCATTCTTATTCATGCTATATACCTCATAACCCTTCACGGCACAATATCAACATAAAATTTCTCCAAACTGACCTCCATAAAGTTTCTTAAAGAATCAGTTGAGAGAATTTGTTAACAGAACAAAGCACTTTCTCCTCGGTGTTCAAGAGGTGACTTTTCCTTTTGCTCGTGTATTAACAGGGAGTTTAAGCAACGACGTTTTTGAGCCATGCACGTCAACCGGAAGTTGACTTGTTGAACTCTTCGGCCGTGATTTTGAACAAATTCTTTGGCAAATCGTCTCTGTAAGAGTAAAGACACTTAGCAATACAAGTATGGTAGCATCAAGGAATATTAAAGGAGAAAAAGGATCACTTCCGGTTCCCGTTCCGCTACTTATACTCCCTAATACTGATGGGAGAAAATTGATGTTGGTCACTCTTAGGACTTACAGCATTAATTAAGCATCCCATTCCACTACCCAGGCGTCTCTCTGCTATAAAAAGGAAGATTTTTTGTTTAACCCTTTCCCAATTATTTTTAATAAAGCGTTGAATTTGACTCATTAATCTGAGGTCTGCTGTCTGCAAATCCTTGAGCTTGATGACCCAGTAGCCTGTGTACAGCCACCCCCTCCCCCGATTTTTTTTTAAGGGGAGGGAACAGCTGTAGACATGCTACTAACCTGGTTATTTATGAATCTTTAAAGAGGTTTTGCTTGCTCGTTCTTTACATCTTCGATTATCATTTTAGCAATTTTCCAGGCCATTTCTTCTTTTGCCTACAAAGGGAAAAAAAGACAATGTCAAACAAATCAGACTTTGATAAAAACAGAAACAAATTTTCAAATCATAAATACAAAGCTTTAACAAGTTCGTGACAGGGAAAGTAAAAGACAATCTATAATATGTATATGAAATGGAAATTATGTAGGCTAATAAGCATGACAACTGTCCAGGTGAAATCATTACTTTTCCTAAGATGTGGAGCAATTTGGTCCAACTGAATCTTACCTCAGCCAGCCCACGTGGCAGGTGTTCGAAAGGGAAGGGGAAGGGAATTAGGGTGCGAGACCATACTCTTGCGCACCCAAATTCCCCCTTCCCCTTCCCCTTTTAATGCCTGCCACGCAGGCTATACCTCAGCTAATACTGAAAAGCCATCTGTCTTCAAGGCACCTTTGCAGTCACTCGCGCCAGAGTCATGCAATGCTCCATGTGTGACTCGAGCGCAACATAAGGATGTGTAAAGGCTACTTCAAAGTTGTCCCAAGCCTCTGTTTTAAAGCGAGTCTAAGTGTGCAGCTACTGATGTGATTCTCATGCAAATGAAATTCATTTTCACAAGCACTTAAAAGTGAGAGTTTTTGGAACTCAGAAATGGCCCACTATTTCAGTGGCATTTTATCTTTCTTTTGCAGTATTAATTACCAGGATGTGAAAGTCATACCTTGTCTTCTACTCCGGACACCAACTTTCTCATGGCTTTTCCCAGTTTAGCCGCTAAAGGAAAAAAAGAACAACTGGTAACCACCACGACAGAAATAACTCTATCAATTAACCCTTTCACTCATATAGTTCGGTTTATTTTCAAGCTATTAGCATTTAACATGTATAAATTAATTGTATAAATTAGGTCTGACTTTTAACACTGCAGATGAAATTTTATGGAGTGGCCATTCCAAGGATTACACTACTACATGTAAAATTTTTGCAATTTGATTGGCTAAGAGCAGTGGTATTTCAGCTTAATTTGAAATGCCTAGTAGTATTAACAAATAATAGCATGACTTGTACGTGATATTTGGCAAAAATACCACTCGTGATATTTCAAAATTGTCTCAAATTTCACTCGCCTGAGGGCTCGTGAAATTATGTATAACAAATTTTGAAATATCACTTGTGGTATTTATGCCAAATGTCACCACTAATCATGCTATTACCTATACAAACTTACAATTAGTATTTCTTTAAAGGTAATATTATTATGCAATAAACATTTTCTTTTCAGAATTTTAAGAAAGGAGAATAGATTTAGATAAAGATTTGTAGTGGTAATAGCATGATTTGTAGTGATATTTGGCATAAATACCATGCGTGATATTTCAAAATTATTATACCAAATTTCACGAGCCGTTAGGTGAGTGAAATTTGAGACAATCTTGACATATCACGAGTGGTATTTATGCCAAATATCACGTTCATACTACTACCTGCAAAGGGTTTGTGATTTTTACTTGTAGGTATTTCAAATTAAGCTGAAATACCACTGCTCTATGCCAATCAAATTGCGGAAATTTCTAATGTAGTAGTATAAGGATTTTAATACTAGATTTGCCAGTTCTTGGCAGGCCCAAATAATCTGGCCCCTGTTGTTCAAAAGGTGGATAACGCTATCCACTGGATAAATTTCTATCCAGCAGATAGTGCAGTTGGTTTCCCTAATACTTATCCACTGGAAAGTTATTTATCTGGGGGATAGCGCTATCCAATGTTTAAACAAATGAGGCCAGGTTTCCCTACCCAAAGTTTCAAATAAGCAACAGGTGCATTTAATTGAAAAATATAGTAGATAATTCACTCATCATGTACGCCTATGGAAATGTACCTGTAGAGATGCCATTTCCACTGTCTGGTTCAGGCTCAAAAATTGGTTCAAAAATCCCAAACTCATTAACTTTTCCCAGCGACAAGGGTCTGCAATAAAATAAATCACAGGTACAAATAATGAAATAACACTGATACTGTACAGTAAAAAGATATCCCTATATAGTAGACAGTATTAAGTTATAGCATTTTCTACCCTCTGATAATTAACCAGTTAGTCAACAAAACATTTTTGACATCCAAGGTCATTATTGAGAAACCTGACTAAAAAATGGACATTTACAACACACTACCACAATACAATACAATACCCTTTATTTAACATGGTCAATGTTCTTAGCTAATTAGCTACTTTACAGACATGCCACGAAAAATAAATAAATAAACTAGAAATAATAATAGAAAGAGAAGATTTCTCATAAAACCTATATAAAAAAATATATATACAGTTAAAAATTATTAAAACTACGAGTAGATCACAAGATTATTACATAATGATGTTAAAACTAAGCAAAATGTATTTACATGTATTTTTGCAATGAAAATGTCAAATTTGAGAAGTCCAAGTTAGACATTAAGTTCTTAAATGAAAACAAGAAAACAAGTGGTGCAATTTTATGTACATTTCTTGAATTTTCTTATTTTTTAAATTTGAGACAGAATTTATCCAAGATGTTGTGGTTTTGCACAAATTTCCTCTAAGAACTTACCCAGCATTAGGTCTTTGCCAAATTGCATCTGGATGTTCTGTGAGATCCAAATCCGATCCAAATGAAGACCTGACTAAGCGATTGTTTTCCTCCAGATTCTGTACATCATCAACACTGCCAACAGAGGCTGAAAGGGTCCGGGAATTACGCCGTTCACTTACAGAGTTTAACAGCTCGGTGAGGTATTTAAAGTGCACCTCACCTTGGAGGAAACTTGGAAAAAACACCTGAAATTAGAAGTAAGACGGATGTGGAATATGATACATTTAACTGTAAAAAAGTTCAATGTACTCTTTTTGCAACTTCCTATGTCAGGTGATAGGACACTATAAGGTGGGGAGCTTTAATCCATTTAGTCCTGAACTGCCCATAACCACCCATGTGGATCTATGTCCTTTGAGCCACTTACCAATTATTTGCCCTTCTGTGACCACCAAACAGTGATTTTCCCTGGTTACAGGACTGAGCCCGCAGAAAACCCTGAATATAATGTAATTTCAACAACCTTTATGATTTGGCCAAGAAAAAATGGTGACCTGGGTCGACAAACAAATCATTTCTAAAACGCAAACTTATTGGCAGCCCTGTAGTCTATAGTCTTTAAACAGATTAACACCACATGCATTTTTCTAGGATACTCTGACTAAAGGGATTCTCATAATCTGATTAAAAGAGGATATTACCTCCTCAAGAAGACAAAGGACATGTTCCATCGGACATGAGAAGCAATCAGGAAGGGGTCCACCTTCACGACAGATCTTATTCTCTATTTCAATCCTTGTGATATCATCCACCCCCAGAGGCACACTTGCTTGCATAGATATATACCTAGAAATAATGAGATTAATTAATCAGAAGTTTTCTAAATTTACATTTACTAACTACAGTCGACTCCCAGTAACTCATCGAACCCTCTATAACTCGAACCTCCCGTTAACTCGAAGTAATTTTCATTTCCCCTCAGATCATTTTCCTTATAGTTTTACCCTCAATAACTCAAACTCCCGATAACTCGAACTTTTTTCTATTTACCTTAAGGGTTTGAATTATCGGGAGTCTCCCGTAGATGGAATATGATTGTTCAGGTGAGTATAGTCCTGAATAGGACTGTTGTCTGATGTTTTGACAACCTGTCCAGTAGTCATCTTCAGAGTCAAAGTGAGTTGCATCACATTGATCAGTTAATGGTAATAATCTCTGGTTATTGAGCTGATTGGTCAATTAAGTCGCAACATTTAATGTTTATTTTCATCACCATTATTATTATTCGTTTATTAATTACACCATATGTTAATTAATTTTTTTGCTAAATATTAAGTCATTGAAATAATAATAACTTAGGGAAGGGGTAGGTGGTCTGTTACTCAGAAACCTCAATTGATTGGAATAATCTTACAGTACTTCTGTAATTTGAATTACTCCAAAAAACTTCAATTGCCTGTCAGGCAAGTCGAGAACAGAATTTATTAACCCAATAACAAAATCCACTATATAGCCCTGGGCTATTGTACACAACTTTGCTGACTTACTTATCATAAATGATCATTGCATCCTCCAAGGCATGTTGTGCATTGTACTCATTGTTTTCCAGTTGTGATTTAAGGTGACACTGGAAATTATCAGCTGTTAACCAAAACTCTAGCATGTGTTGGACACCTTCCTGCTCCAGATGCTAAAAAGGTAGCAATCAGCATTCAAATTCTCAGTCTGTAGTAAGTCTTCAAATATGTGTTATCATGGCTAGGATACAGTTAACTCTCTGTAAGATGGACACCTTTTGGACCGGGACTAAGTGCCCATTTTAGAGAGATGTCCATCTGATAGAGAGTCAACTAAAAGGAGTAAAGAAAGGCAGGGATCAACTGTAGGTGTCCGTCTTATAGCGAGTCAAATAAAAGTAGTAAAGAAAGACAGGGACCAACTTTAGGTGTCTGTTTAACAGCTGTCCGTCTTATAGAGGTGTCCATTGAGAGAACGTCAACAGTAATCTGTTTCTCAAAATCACGACAGTTTGTATCTGAGAATGACTTCTTTTATATACATGGTGTAGTTACAGAAATGAAGTAAATTATCTTGCAACAAATAATATAGTTCTTACCTCCATGAAGTAAAACATAGCATTTTGATTGTACAGAATATCAGAGAGAAACACTTTCCCACTTGTCAGAATATCAATTTGATGTTTACAATAATGTGAACTCCCAAGAAAAGTAGGGAAATACCTAAAAAAAAGAGAAAGAAGTACAGTTAACAAAGTTTATTGTGCTTAACAAATAGTGAACCTCTCTAATGTGGTGGAACTCTGGGATGATCATACATTAATTATGACCTGATTCATATGAGCCCATGGAGAATCTCTGAACACAGTGTAATTGAGTTGTATCTATTTTATTTCAGTTGACATGTGCACTTCTCTAAAGAGGGAAGGGGGGGGGAAGGGGAAGAATAGTACCATTTCAAGATGCCTTTTCAGCTATAGGCAAATCCTTGTTTACATTTTTTACCCTTCATTAACATATGCTTAGCATTCTGTGATCAAGCTTTACACAAAAGGTGAATTTAAACAGCTTTTTCAACTTCTAAGGGTTAACTCATATGCTTGCAAAAACTGTTGCTCAGTAAAGGATTTGCTGACATAAGTGGAAATATAAGTGGCTTACAGCTGCACGATTTGTAATTCTCTGGTTTCTACATGTATGTGTGAGCAAACTTGTGAGAGGCACAACAAAGAATGGTGACATGGCATTTTTATGAGGATATAGCACCTAATGGTCTCTGTAGAATGGTAGAACAGTGGCCCTCATATTCCCCATGAGATTGGGCAGGACTAGCTCAGTTCCAGAGAGCTTGGAGACAGTGGGTTCCAACTCTCACCGTTTGGGCTGTCAACTAATGGTCTCATGACTTAGCCTCCAAATAACACAGTGAATTTCAAAGTCTTAAAATTGCCAGACAATGTTGGTAGGAATTGTGTAATTTTTTGTCCTCATAATGGACAAATTGTGTCAATTTAATGTTTTTTTGGAGGGGGGTACTGGGTCTAATTCCAACCTTATTTTCTGTGAAACAAGGTTAGCTAAGATCTGTGGGAAGCCTTATAGCAAACTCAAACATCCTATTGATGTTGATAGTGAAACAGAATCTCAAACTGACTAGGAGACCTCAGAGCCTTAAGAAGAAAAGAAAGTCAGTGGCTGGAGTAGCCAAATTTCATACAACATTAAAGTGAGTGGAGTGACTTAAATTATATCTAATAGGGTAAAGAATACTATGGTTTTTGGGGACTTTTTTTCATACACTCCAGTTTGCATGGTTTAGGGGTTGGAAGGTCTGGGGTTGGATCCCCATGACTGGACCAATACTTAGGGTTTCATAATAGCTGAGAAATGAACGTTTTGTAATTTCAGGAGAGCAGAAAACTGAAGGGAATCATGCAAATTTTAACATGCTCACTAGGAAGACATACAATGAGGAACAGAGAGCTCAAATCACAGCTTTGAAAAATCAGAGGCAAGCTAGCCAGTATACATGTATTGGTTAACACCACCTGTCAACCTTGACGCAAAACCAGGAGTCATTAATTTTATTAAAGTACCTTGTGGTAAAGTATACCTTACTTGAATACCAAGATCTAAACTTTTGGATTGAAGTAAGCAAAAAACAGGGGTAAACTTACATCTTTTCCATTACATCAAAAGCAAACTTCTGAGCTGGCTGAAAGGAATCTGGACAAATTCTTCCGTCTTCACTGCAGATGTTAACTGTTCAATAATATTATAGTTTATTAGAAGAAAAATTAGAAACAATTCACCTCTTTCCTTTAAAGGAAACTGTGATGAGGTTAACCACAAAAATATATTAATCCCTTATGAAAAATGTTGCATAACACATGGCCCCAAAATCTGGCTTACTGCATCTTTTAGTTTATTAGGGTGGGGGGAAAGAAATTTGTGCACTGAAATTCAACTCACTTTTTCTCGGGCAGTGGGAGATATGCCAGATGAAACAAGTTTGATGAGCAAGATATTTAAGAGGAGTATTCACTATGTATGAAATATAAGCCTGTTTATCTCACATTTCATGTAAGTAAATGCCTACACGTCTGGCCACTTACTTTCAATCTGCCTGCGCATGGATTCTTCCAGGCCAATAGGATGTGATGCCTCAAGGGAAATGTATTTGCTATAAATACTCACAGCATCAATGACAATACTTCTTGTCCTCCTTCGGCAAAACTCACGTCGTTGATGTTCGTAGTCCGGCTTTAAATCAAATGTAACTTTCGAAGACCGAGAAGACTTAAGAGTACCAGAATCTTCTACAGATTCTGTACTTGCTTGACTACAGTTTATATTGGAATGACTATTTATTATATCCTCTTGATTGACTCCGTTTTGTAAATTGTTTGCACTAATAATAGCACTTGATGACACAGAAGAAGTGGAGCCAGAGAGGTCACTGATTCTATAACTCATTTGACTGTTGCTAAACCCTTGTCCACAGAGATCACATGTCTTATTTGATTCAATAAAGCGACCACACTTGTCACACAACAGCAACACATCACCATTGTTTCCTGTTGTGTTTCCCGTTGATGTAGAGCTCTCTGGTTCATAACTGGTGAAGTCACCAAAGTCATTGCTGCCACTCTCAATACTTTGCTGTTGATTCCTACTTTCCTTTAAACTATTGTCTTTGCTTTGCTCATTTACAGAGCTGCCAGTATGTGAAGTATCTGAATTAAATGCACTAGTTATGTTTCTGTCTATATCAGTATTTGTACTCAGCTCTGCTTTTGATGTCTTTAACCTTGACATAGAGTTAATTCTCAAGCGATTTATGGTTGAGAGTCTGAAAGTTTCGGCTGTTAGCCAAAAGTTCAATAAGTTCATGGCATTTTGTTTTTGCATGTACTCCATAAAATATGGCAATACACTGTCATCCATTAGGACTTCTGTCAGAGACTTGGATAACTGCGACTTTCTTGGAAAAGTTGCCACACACTGAAATAATTTGATACAACAGTCAGACCATAGTTTTGCTAAAAACAGTTGAGAAAAAGATATGAGAGAAAAATGCGAGCAACTTTTATTTTTAATTAATGTAAATACCTTGGCAGACTTCTTTCCAGAAACACTTGATAAAAGCTTTCTGCATTCTTGAACTGTGGAAAAAAGAGAAAAAAATCCTTTGTTAACATAAAGATATATATTGTGCAGTTTGACTGTATCTGAGAGGATCTTTGCTGTTGAAATTAGGAATATCTAAATTTCATATGGATCCACAGAATGAGGAAATAAATGCAAACAAGATTATTGCAGTAAATGACGCAACTTATGAAGTTAAGAAAAGAAACTCTGAAAAAATCCTGGCTTGCCCTAGCTTGAATTTTTTTAAGGCTTTCTTACATGTATTTTCAATTGCATAAGTCGAGTCTTTAATTGTGACAATCTTCTTGGCATTTCATTAACTGTTGGCCACAAGTCTCCTTGTGATTCTGAGCAATATAATAGGGAGCTTAAGCAAAGATGTTTTTGAGCAATGTATGGGGGGGGGGGGTACTCCCTTATAAGGGCTTAATGGGGACGTGTGGCCAGCCAGGGTATGTTTTTCGGGATTTTTGTCTTAAACAGGGTGTCGAATTTATCATTTTTCGTCTTAATCAGGGTATCGATTTATCAATTTTTGCCTTAAACAGGATATCTTTTCTTGGACGATAAACAGCAAAATTTTTACAATCTCTAAAGTTAATTAATACTGACTTCCGTTGACTTAAACAGGGTATCAAAAATCGGAATTCTGTCTTAAACAGGTTAGGAAAATCAGCGATATTTGTCTTAAACAGGGTCAGGGTATAGGGGGCCGCGCCGCACCTCCCCACCCAGGGATATATTGAGTAACCCCCCCCCCTCCCCAGGCTATAGAGACTATTTTGCTCAAAACACTTGGGCAAAAGCACAGCCCAAGAATACAAATTAATAGTCTACCACTTCCGGTATGCTTGAGTCAGTCAAAAACCTCTCCTTGCATAAGCTTATTACCAATTCATCAAAGAAATAACAGAGCTTACTTCCAATTAAGTTATTTTGTCTGTCTATAGCATCATTTGGAGCAGCAGAAGCTAACTGTTTCTTGGACTTCCCTTTACTTTTTCCAGATTTAGAACTCTTTCCCTTTCCCTGTTTTTCTGAAATATAAAAGAACAGTTAGTGTCACATGGGTGACAAACTAACAAAACTGTAACTCTTTTGGCCACCACATTTTCTTCTCAAAGCACAGCACTGCCTGTTGTGTGCTTCCATCTGTATTCTTCTGTGGTTCAATTTTGTCCTTGGTTTACATTTTTTTTTCTTTTGTTTAAATTTGTAATCACACATCATCATACCCAAAAACGAACATAAATAACTTTAAACAACGGACAAAAATGAATGGAAACACAATTATCTATGAGTAAGATACAATTCTCTCCTGTCTCTTTTTGACCTTGGAGACATCTACCAAGTAAAAATATATAATCACGTTGTGAATAGAAAAGCAAAAGCGCTCTCTGGAGTAACAAACAAAATAATGTGTTAACTATTCCCGGTGTTCGCTCACACAATACTGGCCTTAGTTCTCACCAATTACTAGCGAGAGCTCTATGTCAGGTGTGTGTTTCTGTGCTTTCCAGTTTGGGTGGGAGGATTGGATTCATGAGCCGTCAAAGCCCCTTTTGGGGGTGGGGGTAGGGTGGGTCTACACCTGTTTTGCTTTGTGGTTCGTTTGTTTGACTGTCCCCTCCCCCCTATTTTTCTCTTATCTTGGTCTAGTCCTTTCGCATTCTCGCCGGTGGACTCGCATGTCCCGTAACTCAACTTTTGAGTCCCTAGGCCTTTGTTAAGCGAGAGTCCACTGGGAATAGATTACTATGTATGGGTAGCATATATTATGATAATTCATTTTTATCATGGCTTGTGTGACAGCAACTTAGAATTACAAAAACATACCAGGTAAATTACAAAAAACGTGTGTATTACAATCTGCACCACCTTTACACTGGCTGCAACAATAGTTGCAGGTGATGGGGGTAGATTCCTGTCACAAATCTACTTGCATGGTAAACATCTCAGTTTGAGCATGTTAATTCTGGTAAACAGTTTAACACAAAAACAATGCACAGAAATGCTGTTTACGCTGTGGTTTTATTTTCATCGTTGATTTCATTTTAATTTTCCTTTGCGTTTCAGTATGGTAATGTATTCTTCACTCAGTACAAAATAAAAATTAATGTACATGTACATCTGATTCAGTTCTTTAAATGTCAGACAACTTTTCATATATTTCAGAACAAGTCGAAAGAGAGTTAAATATTAGTCTCCAACTTTGTTAAGTCTCCAGTCCCTGTTTCTTCCGGGTGCTTGGATGCTTCGAGTTTAAAAGATCCATGAACAAAATAGGGGAAACGTTTAACTGCAACGAGAACAGCTGTACAACTTCGTTATGATATATGTAGGGAAAGCATATATTGATGATTATCGGCGACTTAAAGCTTTGAAGGTGACAATGCAAAACTGCAGTTGATGCTAAATTAAGCGCCGTCGATGTCGTCTGAAGCTAAGCGTTTTGTGTTGACAGACTAATGCATCGTGGAATGAATTAAAAATATGTACAAATGCAATAATAATTTCATGAGGATTTTATTAGTCGTGAGTGTCAGAAAAGTTCCTTCTCTCTTCCGTTTTGCTGCTGTATATTATTGCAAAACATGTTAAGCCAAGCAAGGATCAAGTTGTTAACGCGATATGTTATCAGATGTTATGCAGTGTCCAGTATAACCTTACCTTTGGTCGAAGGTTTCCTTGAAAATCGCAGCATTCGAGCGACAAAACCACTTTTATGTCTTTGAATATTAATTATCGCTCTCCAACACGGCACTAAAAGATATCTTCATTCCAAAGAGTCAGCGAAAAGACCCCAAATTCTCCCCGTTTTCCGCTCGACAGCTCTTCAAAGAAAGCATATCAGTAGGTCATGTAGTCAATGTGAAATGTCCACCTTCTGGGAGCGAGGTCTAGGACCACGTGATCAAAACACGTACCACCTTATCCGCCATTTTGCTTTTGGCGCTGTTTGCAGCAGCCGAGAAAACTCCTCTTTGCCTCAAATTTGCAAGTGCAAAGTCCCTGGAAGGGACATAACTGCCATTTTACAAGGGAGCCAAAGTTCCCTTGTTATTTTTTTGTACTACTCTTTTTGAAAACTACTCTATAACTTGAAACAAACGACAAAAACACAACTTTCGTCCCGCTAGTTTCAGTATGGCTTTGTGAAAAATTTTACGCCATGTTTATGCAAGAATTGGTTGAAGAAATAGTTTCTCCTTTTGGAGCGATTGTTTTCTCTAGTTCAGTTACAATTTCAAAACAACACAGAACCGAGATTTGGGCAGTGGATGAGCGAGAAGAATACAGACGAAATGGAGGGGAAGGCAGCGATTGTTCCCTCTTTATCAGCTGGTCGAGATCAACCAGGTAAAGTTCATCGCCAAAAAATTCTGGTACTGTAGTAGCTTAGTATGTTACTAAGGCCATTTAATATCATGACATATTTAATAATGCAACGAGGGAAGCAAGTCGAAAAAATTAAACTGAAAATGCTAGGTTGATAACATTTCATCATTGTAGGGTACAGCTGTAAAACCGGTAATTCTTTTTTATTTTAGACTTTAGAAGGTACCTTATGTCACAGGTATGAGTGTAAAATAAATTGTTTCAAGTCATTAGATTTTAGCACATATCGAGCGTGAGTATGTTGTACAATGTAACTGCTTGAAATTTAGGAGTACATGTAGTGTGTCCATGGCCCTCTACATTTCCCTCTTGGGTTTATGTAACGGTCTTTTTGTTTTATGGTGAGATCATTCCAATTCAGATCGTTTCATTTTATAGTCAGGTTGTTCCAAAGTTTCAGTGTAAAACTTGATGTGAAGGGGGCTTTTATATTAGCTTCTTGTTGATGGCCTTGTTTCTGCTCGTGGGCCTTATGGAATGCATTTCCAGCATTCTGGAGCAAAAAGGAGGGTGTTTGAACAGAACATAGACATGATTAAATTTGGCTTTTTTATTCAGCGATAGCTCAAAAATGCTCTATTTTTTGTGTATTCATTTTCTTCTTGCCAATATCTATGAACAAGAGATTCTCTCTTGCTATGAACCATTGGGTCAGTTACTGAACCAAATTCTTGCAATGATCTTTCAATGCTTTTTAAGTAGCAAGGGAACCAATGAATAATGCAATTGTAATTCGATGAAAAGAGGTGTTCAAGGATTATTAACTAAAAACAAAGGACATATATATATTTACTTGTCTATTTTGTTTGATGCTTTTCTTGAGGTTGAATCAGGTCAAGCAGAGTTCTTTGTGTTTTCCTTGCCACAGACATGTCGTGAACTCTGCTTGACCTTGCTGTACATCAAGAGAATGCGTACAAATTTACGTATGTGTACGTATGTGTTGTGCTGCTTTGGCACCCAGACACCATGGTTTTGGGCAAAGGTAAGGTTGCTCTGTAGAGTGTTTGGCTTTGATGATTGAATGATGAAAGCTACTCAGAATTAAGGCAAGTCTCTTTGGGTTTTCTAGAACAAAACTTTGCCAATCGAAGGTTTGTGTTCTGCAGAAAATGTCTCTCATGTTATTTGTAAAAACTGGTTAATTTCCAAAGAAAAGTAGGCGGGGAGTTTACATGAAATAGCCAGCAAATCTTGCTGGCCACCGGCTCTTATTGAAAACCTGGGGCTTGGAATGATCTAACCATGGAATAAAGTGACTGGATACCCCCTCTTGTTGCTTCTCTTAAATAAAGAGGCTTCAGAGGGTAAAAATATATTGTTCTGACAAGTGTTATCTGTAGTACCACGCACATTGGTAAGTTGGGTCAAAAAAGCACTCTTTCACTTTTCTTAAAGACAGGTAGTTTTTGGCTCAGATGACTAATACTATTGAAGCTTTCAACTGACGGCACAAGAAAGATTTTATGATGTACAAGGTTTCCTTTCAGCTTTTGAAGAAGTTGACATGCTAACTAGAATAAAATGTCTGAAAACCCTGAAATTATAACCTTAAATTGAGATGGTTTTTTTGTGGAAATGCAGTACCAAGTTTAAATAAACAAACATCAGAAAACATACCATGGGACAGATTTTCTGCGATCATGATATTTACAGAAAACTGTTTTATTCTTTGTGATCTTGTGCAATTTGAGACATGTCTGATATTGTGCACTCTGCATGGTAATATTTTATCAGACCTGTATTTGAAATTTTTGTGTTCTCCTAGCTCCAAGAAATAAAGGGCAGTGGCGTGGTAAAACTAGAAGAGGGCAGAACTTTGGAAGATTTGCAAACCAAGAACATTACAGACAACAAAGAGACTTCTCTGACAGGAAAGATGTTTACAATCAACCACAAAGACGTGGTGCCATGCCCAATAGAAGACCGCCTTCAAGAGGTTTTTTGCCTACTTCTTCATGCTCTAGAAAGGTAATATTTTTTATACAGATACAATGTAATGTGGCTAAAATGTAATTTAGGCAAAGTTAAATTTCAAGCCAATGCGGTCAGCGGTCTCCTGCTCATGTGTATGTGATCTTTGGGGTGACCGCAGGGGCCTTTACTTATCTTGTGACTCGTGTTGCATTTCATGCTGATCTTTGGGGATCTGCTATTAAAGTGAATCTCTGCGGATTCTGGCTCCCAGCCCTTCCCTCCCCTTTTTGGGTTTGTGCGTTGGTAAGTATGGGGTCAGGTGAGTATTTTCCACTGAATTCCTTCAGTGTGACGGTGCCAGTTGGTGGCTGCATGCAGGGGTGGTTCCTGCGTGCAGCAGTGCCATGGATACCTCCTGCTATGCCTGAGGTGATCAGGCTCCTGTCCAACCTTTAAGGCACCAGTTCCCACGCTCAACTATTGGCAGTGAGTTTAAACTAAGCTTATTGTAGAAGGTGACATTGGTGTTGTGTTTAATTCAAACTTGAGCTTGTTGTAGCAGAAATTCTGCATTATCGCAGAACTTAGATCACATGATGTTAAGTTTTATGTGTACAAGTCAATGTAATGAATTTTGAGAAGAGCACAAAACATCAGCTGGAGAGAGCATGCCTTGCTTGAGAGGATCTATAATGGGGAGCTAACACCTCTATCTTTGAGACTCTCGCAAAAATTTGTCCAGTTTACTGGTCATTGCTGTCGGCAGATAAAAAAATAATCTCATCTCTCATCCTCTGGTGCCTAGTGGGCAAAGTGCATTGATGTAAGCTAACATACCCTGAAGTGATTGCTATGGATTCAGGACTTGATACCAGGAACCTGAGTACAGCAATGGTGAATTGTGGTGTTTGGGAAGAAATTTCCATGAATGTTCCATCCACTGCAGTAGTCAAAGGATGATAATAATGAACAAATTTTGTTTTGGCCATTTTCAATCTCTCTTAGCCAGAGGATGAGGCAGGGCTCTGGTTTATGGAATTTGCGTATGCTGTAATGTCAACCGAAGTACTGTGTTATGCTGCTGTTGAAGATGTCATTGTTTGATTACTAGGGTTGTGTATCTGATGTGTTAAAAGACATTTCACTGACCAGTACTGGTTCCAAAAAGTATGGCACATCACTCAACCATCTGTTGAACTTCAAGTATGCCCCAAGGGAAAAGCCAGTCATCTACCATTCAAGAAACAGCTCCAAAAAGTACACCCCATTCAACAAAGAACAATTCATACAAGCCAAGTGAGTGCAATGTAGTTTCTTTCAATTAGGTTACCGTAAAATTCCAAAAATAAGCCTCTCCATGTATAAGCCCCTCCAAATATACAAGGCCCCCAAACCAGTAAGGCAAAAAACCCTCCGTTAAATCGCCCCTCAAAATAGAAGCCCCCCTGGGGGCTTACACTTGGAAAATTGCCCTCAAATACAAAGTAAAACAAAACAAAAATGGTAAATTTACATCCAACTATAAGGCTAGCCCACTCAATTTTGAAATGCAAATTTCCCTCCGTAGATAAGCCTCTTCGAATATAAGCCCCTGAAAAAGAGCCTTTGAAAAATATAAGCCCCAGGGCTTATTTGCAGAATTTTACGGTATTTTGTTACATGTAAATCATTTCACAATATGCGTACTGAATTTCTTTTGTCTTGTCAGCTTTCAGTTTGTAGTTTGTGACTCTGGTGATTACACAGTTCATGCCATGGATCCTGATGTACTGGTGGAGTGGGATTTGATAGAACAAGTGGTGTGTATATGGAATACATTACAAATTGGCAGCGGTGGAACATGAACTGTCCATTGTACTTTCAAAAACTAAATGAAGACGGGTTTCGATAAAAACTGAAGTAGCCAGCAGATTTGAATAGGGTAACCGACTGTATGAACAGTCCACGTTTTCAAGGGGTGTCTGGGGGCATGCTTCCTCAGAAAATTTTAAAATTGCAAAGCCCTAATAAGTGATTTCCAGCGTTTAGGGGACTAAACTGAGTATAAAAGAGTGAGTTTTCCATTCAAGAAGATTTGGGTTTTTGTCAAATTTTGATCTATTAGCCACAGAATTAATTCCTGCAAGCAGTGAACAAATTATAATTATACTAAGTTACATACATTTCCGCGTGAACAAATTATATTTTTGTCCATTACATTATTCAAACTAGGTGCTTCTTCTTCGGAGGAAAAAGTAGCCGACTTCTCTGAGCAGTGTAGTCGTCATGTTTCGTCGGTCGTTAGTGCTTATTGAAACCCCTGGAAGAGGAGATTTGATAGAGAAATTTACATCTTCTGAGTGTTATCAACTATATTAAAACATGGCTGTGTGTTAAGTTCCAATTTTGGGGGCAAAAATAGTGAAAAGGAGTTCATATTGAACCAGTGAACTGGTCTACAGAACATTGCTGAAGCTGTACACAAAATTTGTCTCATATTTTGTTCATTATTAATTTTGGCCCCCACAACCCTTGCATTTGGCTTGAAATTGTTGAAGCTGATACACCACTTCTGAGATTTTTTATTTGCTTTTTCTCCTATCCCTAATAATTCATGATTGTAAATAAGTAGCATTAGGAAACAAGTCATATTTTTCTCATCCTGGACATTGTGTTTTTTTTAGCGAATCTTCAGCCACGAAGTTCCGTCCTGTCCAATCTGTTTATACCCTCCTGTGGCAGGTATGTTTGGATAACTATGGGTATACACAGTTGCCTACATCAAGAACAAGTTAGTTTTATCCTTGACTGAAATATCTTGGCATAAATCTTAGTTGGAGTACAACTACGTGTACAGTTATTGTTTGTGACAATTCATGTTTGCTGTTTGTTTTGCCGACCAGTAGCTCAGTGAATTTTGGGAATTGACGACTTACAGCATATTTTGTGGGACATTTTTTAATTTTTATCTTGGAAACCTTTTTTAAAGAGTCTTATCTCTATTCTCCTGCTAACAAGTACTGTAGGAAAATGGTAATAGTCAATGGAACTTCTGTAGGAAGATACGATTTGATCATGGAGTGTTTGATAGCATTCATTTTGTGTTAAACAAATTTACATCAAAACATACTCATGTCACTATAAGGTCTACAGATCAATGTATGAGAGATGGCGGGAATTGACCAGCAGGCATCGATCTATTAGTCATTCTCTGTCTGCCCATGTTCGATTTCTAGAGTTTCCTAAATGTACAATGAATTGTGAAAAGTTTAAACCCAGGAGTCATTTCATAAGAAGGTGGAGCATGATTGTCTGGGTGAGGGTAGTTCTGAATGGGACAGTTGTTGACAGTGACTGATGTTTCGACAGCCTGTGTGGTAGTCATCTTTGACTGTGAAGATAACTACCTCACAGGTTGTCGAACTGTTAGTCGCTGTCAACAACTGTCTCATTCAGGACTTTGCTCACCGAGATGATCATGCTCAACCTACTCATGTACAATAAATATAGGCTGGCCCATTTTATTAACCCCCCCTCCCCCCAACCCACCCCATACTTCATCCTTGCCTCTTATCCTGACCCATTGCACTATGTTCTCTTCCATTTTCCACTGAAAAAAAAAAGGCCTACACTACAGTCTACCGGTACTCCGTTTGTGGAAAAATTACAGTAGTCAAAATAATGTTACCAATGTTTTCCACTGAATATTGAAAATCATGAATTATCATTTTTTTGTATCTCTAGCGAAAATAACTCGCTGTGGTCACATTTATTGCTGGTCCTGCATTCTCCATTACTTAAGTCTGGTAAGTGCATATAGCACTTTATATAATGTGTATATTTAATTTGTAGGGAGATGGGGCAGAAGGAGCTCTCAATAATTTTCTCTGAATTTTTGACATAATATTCAGCTGGCATGTCTCCGATCTTACACTTGTGAATGCATCATGAAATTAAAGATCGTGAGTTGAGAAATAACACTGTCTGGGTGAAAGGAACTCATTGTAATAAGAAAATGCTACACTGGACTTCATGTAAACTGGATTTACAACTTGTACATGTCCATTTAAGCTCTGACATTGCCTGCCTAATGCTGTAAACATCCATATTCTAATTTGCATTGTTTCATTTTTACACAGACTGATAAATCATGGCAGAAATGTCCCATTTGTTATGAAGCAGTACATAAGAAAGATTTAAAGAGGTAGAGGACAAAGTGACTTTATTAATGATTATTTTCCCTTGAACCAGTACATTGATACCTTGCTACAAGTACCCTGTTTAGCTGCCAGATTGAGATGTGAATAATGTAGTACCTATGGGTATTTTGCTTTTCAAAAGGAAAAAGTCAGTACACAATTTTGGTCTCTGGTTTGTGTGCAGAAGTATTCACCACCGTCAAAGTGCTTTTTTCAAGGGATAAATTTAACTTGTCAGTATCTGTCCCATGGTTGTAAAACTTCAAAACTATGGTCAAACCTCTTTTCAATGACCACCTTGGGGATAGAGGTATAATTAATGATGCATTGTAGAGAAATGACCTCTACGGGGAGTATACATAAGAGGTGTAATGTGACACTAGTTTTTGGGTGGGGAATGGTTACACCATTTTTATTTACATTAAAAATTACAGTACTGTGCCCTTTCTCCCCCAATTGTCACATTATGCTCCTACATTGGTTTCTTATCTCTATCCCCAAGGTGACCTTTGTAGAGAGGTTTGATTGTACATGTTTGACTTTATCACATTTAGGAATTACTAATCTCTCTTGGCAGTAGTCAATGAAAGATGAAGTGTAACAGAATAAAATAAATATAAATCTTTGCCTAGAACATTTAATGTTCTAGGCAAAGATCCTTTTTTTCTAATGTTATTCTCTCTGAAATATTTTAACAACCTTATGAATTTATTATTATTATAATTTATTATTATTATTACTGTCTTTTTTTTATCAGTGTTGTTGCTGTGGAGTCCCATCCTTACTCAGCAGGAGACACCATTAGAATGAGGCTGATGAAACGAGCAAAAGTATGATAATTTAATGATTAGTCAAGGCAAAAAAATTGCCCTTGTTGCAAAAAATAATGGAAACTAATCCATTTTGTGCTTTTAATTCCGTTTAGAATTCTGTGCTTGTTATTCCTAAAGCTCAGTGGCATGATAGGGAGTTCAGGCCCTTCGAGATCAATGGTATTTCAATATAATATTAAGTTATAAACTATTGTTGTGGGTTAAAATGTGGTTTATAGTTTGAAAAGTTATAACTTCTTCTTCCCTCCCCCAAAACAACTGAATCTAAAAGATCATAGCACCTTTACAGATATCTTAAAAGTGGGGCCACTAAGTATGCGTTAAGCAACTACCATGGGAGTGGCAACATCAGTCCTAATAATTCCATAGACAAACAGTAACTTTGCATAAATTATGCCTTGCACTGTTGTGTTGTTGTTAGATTTCAGTAGTAAACTAGTAAATAATGAAAGGCTTACAGTCAAACCAGGTCAAGCGTTCCCGTCGCTAACAAACTAATGAATTCATTAATGGCAAAATGATTTCGTTTGTTGATTCAATAATCCATTCATAAAATGAATGATCCAACCGTCAAATTGTACCTCGATTCAATAATCAAATGTTGATTTGGTTTATGAACAAAATCTACCTGTTCTTTATTCTTGTCTGTTGTGTTCAATCGTATTTGCTTCCCTTTTCCTGCCGTTTACGATTGCGTTTTTCATTGCCTTTAATCAAAACAACAGCTAGAATAGACAGACCGCAAACGCAAAGAAACTGACAAAGGCTGAGGATCGAAATCCACCAATCACCGCACATACACTGACCTCAGTTTGACCGTCGTGTTTTCTAAGAGGTCAGGCCTAGGTCTGTTGCACTGATTATTGGCAGCAAACTGGCGTACATGTAACATTTTGTTTGGGTTTGAACTTCAGAACTCGCCAGCACTCGACTCTCAGAAAAAAAAGAGGAACAAACAAAATTCTGAGGTCAACTTGTGGAAAGCGTAATTTTTCAAAAAACAGTAATCGAATCAACATTCGATTATGGAATCGAGGCTAAATATGACTATTGGATTGTTCAATTTATGAATGGATTATTGAATCAACAAACGAAATCATTTTTCCGTGAATGAATTCATTAGTTCGTTAGCGACGGGAACGCTTGACCTGGTTTGACTGTAATTACATGTAGCAGAGCTAATAATTCTGTGACCCTCTGAGTATCAAAAATAATAAGCAAGCGAATATTAACGTTAAAAGCCGACGTTTCGGTATCATATAATTCTGGGTAGAAACACTAAGGCTACAAAGCCATAAAATAGTATAAAAATATTTTTTAAACCCTGCCTCGAATAGCATTTTTTTGCTAATTTGCAGGGCAACTGTAGTGTGAATATAAGTTTTTGTCAGTTTAATGGGAAATAATGTAAATTATTACTTAAAAATCCTTGTGAATGTTCATCTTCAACTGTCTTCCTACAACTGCTTTGTGGTTATTTGTTACATTATATCACCTTTTTCAGTGATTGTTTGCGTGTACTACTACTGTTGTATTTACTGATTATATATTAATGTAATTAATAATTATTGTTATTTTAATCATTTGATATAGATGAAGAAGATACACGTTATGCAAAACTTTTACTGGCATCACGAGAGGAAGTTCTAAAGCAGGTATGTTGTCTCATCATTTGAAGTGAACCTTGACAACTCTTTTACTCTCAGTGCTTGAAAATGTTGAAAAGTTAATAATAATTGAAATTGAGTAACTGAAATGCTTGAATTAGCACCCAGCTTCACATAGAAAGGCTAGAAACACCCCATCTGGTAGTCTTCAAGTAACTTTTCATCTTCATGCTGGGGAATGTTGTCTTCTAACCATTCATAAACATGGAAAAGGATGTAATGGCCATAGGAAAGACAGATCTTAGCAGTTCTTGTCCTAAAGATGGCCTTATATTCAAATTTTCTTTGAGCCCTGAATAGGCCACCCCTCCCATCTTTGGGCTGAAGTTCTGAAGAACAAAATAACTACCCCTCCATTCAACTTAGGTGAACCCTGGATAATTTAAAGTATTGGAACATTTAAAGATTCAAAATGAACTTGGCTTTCATTTGTTGCAGAAAAAAGAGTGAATGGTGTTCAAGATGGTGTAAATCTAAAGATCATTTGAGATCTTGCTAAAATGTTATCTGGCTTTCAAGATGGTGCCTGATAACAGTGAGATCTTCAATCTCCATAATTCTTCAGATGATAGTTAATTATTGTGTGAATCTTATTGCAGATTATAGGTCCTGAGGAGACTGCATTGAGCACTCAATTAAAGGAAGCCAGGAGTGAACAGGTACAAGCATTGTGTAGTTCCAGAAAATATCCAGACCCCCACCACGGAGGGAATTTCATTTAGGACCCCCCCACCTCCCTGGATTTTCCATTTTTGCAGGGAACTGATGACCCCCCACCCCCTCGGAATTTCCACAAGTGTGACAAAGACCCCCCCAACCCCCCTGGAAAAGTTCATTTTCACTAAGAAAGACTATTAAAGTAAAAGAAGCTTGTATGCTTCTGTTTCCATCTATTTGAGTGATGTCTCGACGCAACATTAAAACACACTACACCACCACAAAGTAACCTGATCTGCAATTTTTGCTCATCTGTTACTTTAAATGAAACAGAGAAAGTTAATAAGTCCGTTATATTTGTGAATTTACCTTATTAAAATCAGGGCAAGCTTACGATTTGTTATTCGTGTTCATAGGCGTAATGTTGATAGATTCGTGAATTAACACCATTTCGTGCGGGAATGCAGAACAAGTCGAACTTACGACCACAAAATTAATGCAAAACAAAGAGAAGAATAAAAACTCTGAACTCTAAAATGATCGTAACAATGAATACCCCCTGCATCTTGAAGGGAAACCAAGTTCAATTTACTGTTTTTCGATCGACTGATGCGACATGATGCTCGATGGCCGTATAAATGTTTGGTGAAATCGACACCATTTCAGCGAGGATTCGATCATGAACATGCCACACCTTCAAGAAAATGAAAAAGGAGAATAAAAACTCTTCATTTTAAAATGGTTACAATGTATAGCTTGTGCTTCGTGAGGCAAAATTCCCACTCTACTGATCGATCGACTGACGCAACGTGGTGATGTGTTGCACGCGTTGATATTTTGAGGGAGACTGGTAACGAGTAATGGTGGCCGAATACACGAGCATGCGAAGCATGTGATAAAACAAGTTGTAGTCGGTCTAATTCCTTTGAAATTACATCCAAAACGCTTTTGGAAGAAAGGAAACCTGGTTAAGATCAAAAGGAACAATAATTTCGAGTTATTTATGTCCTAAAAATGATCTACCAGGTCGGTAACAAGCAATGTTCGAACTCAGGTCGAAAACGAAATGATATTGACCCCCAGGAAAGTGATTTTATGGTCCAACCCCCCTCCCTTCTGGAATTTCCTGGGCCTCTGACCCCCCACCCCCCTGGAATTTCCAATTCCCTCCGTGGTGGGGGTCTGGATATTTTCTGGAACTACACATTATCCTTTTTGTCAAGGATTTAGTTGTGTCCTTTTTTTGCATTTGTTGCCTTTTTTATAACAACGTTCAGTACTTGTTTGTTTCAAAAAATTAAACAAAATTGAGTTTACATGCCTTAGTTTTAACTTGAGAATACCTTAGTTTGACCTACAGCAAGTATGAGGTTAAAAGTCACTTTACTACAAGTATGGACTTGCTCTCTGAGATTTGTTTTCAAACCTTATACTAGTTACTTTAGCCATGGTAACAGTAATTAATATTATTTTAGTAATCATGTCTTCTAAAACTCCTCATGTTCATTCCTTTCTAATAGTCAGAAGACGTCTGTTATATTGAGGTAGCAATAGATGCAATCAAGGTAAGAGTCAATTTTGAGTATTTTTTAAAAGAATTAATTGTTGCAAACTACCCGTATCACGTGGGATTAAATTCATGCATCAGCAATAGAATTCATTGTTTCTTTCTCCTTACTTTTACTAATATCCACTAGAAATGTATTTATTTTGCTTCTGCAAAAACTTGTAGCTGCCACCAAATTGTTCAGTGCTTCTGTGAAAAGCTTATCATAGTCCACATCATGGCAGGCATTGAATTAGTAACTGCTTTTGTTTAACCCGTTAAGTCCCATTATCAACATACAAATTCTCCAAACTGATCTCCTTACATTTCCTTTAAGAATTAGTTGAGAGAATTAAATAAAAGATCAAGGTTTGGTGATCATTTGTTAATTCTCATAACTTTATCTCTTGACAATGTGTGGATATCGTTAGGAGAAAATTGATGTTGGTCACTATTAGGACTTAAAGGCTTAAGAACAAGCATGAAGAATTTCTTCTTTTATCAGGCACGTAAGGACAGTTTGAGTGAATCAAAAGATGTCGAAGAAGAAGTGAGGAGTCTCATGGAAAGTAAGTCTTTTATTTTTTCAGATTTGTCATAGGAAAGAGTATCGTAAAATTAATAACAAAAATAACAAATCCCCTTTATATAATGTAAGCTGTGAAACACAAATGTATAAGCTCCAAAATGAGCCCTGAAAAGCTATATTTTGGGAAGAAGACTACCATCAAATACAAAAGAGACAGTACCAAATCATAACTGCAGAAGATGTGCTTGAATGTTAGTTTTCTGTTGCTGGGTGTTCTATTAACTTTGAGCTACTGTATAAACTACAGTGAAAAGATGGATTGACCATTTGAACAGTCTATAAACGGGTTTACAGTGTGTGTGGCCTCTCATTTTGAGCAAGTTAGCATGTTTGGAGTGTTTGTGTTGAGACTGATGAATATGTAGAGTAGTCAACTTGCCAATATTATTATTTGCACATTGATAACCTGCTAACCCAATAAGCAGACCACCCGATGTCGAACTGTAATTCAAAAATGCATTAATAATTCATAAAGAAAAAAACAAATGGAAGTAATGTTTGATGAGACGGCTAAACTTTACATCCAATTTTTCAGACCAAAATAACCACAAATCTAAATATTAGTGCAAGAATGAGTTGATCTATATCAGAGATTTTGAAGCCATTCAAAAAAATTGCAGTTGCGTGTTATCAGGTTCAAAAACTCTCAGCTTCGCCTCAAGTTTTTAAACCTGACAATACACTCTTGCTTTTTGATTAATCTTTACAGTACTTTTTACTCCTTTAGCAGGTTTCTCCATAGATTATAAGCTCTGGGTTTATTTTACAGTATAGATTTATTTTAATAAAGAGGAGATAAATATTGACTTGAAAGATAATGGAGTAGCACTTATGAGCCATGCCAAGTCCTGGCTGTGCAGATATTAGATTTTAGAATTGTTTGGTTTTTAATTTACTTGCATGCAAGTGTACTTTGTGCTTGCTTCCTGGCATTTCAATGTAACATCTGATAATGTATTTTTATCCCGATGAATATTATTATAATTAGTGCAGGCGACAAGAGGAGCGCACAATCGTGATCTTCACGTTGTTATCATGCATTTGTCGCATGTACAGTGTATGTAACCAGAATTTGTTTGGACTTCTGCTATAAATGAATTGAATGCACAGAACACTATTTGATCACGCATGTTTGGACCTTCTGTCACCTATCAAGTGAAATTTATGCAAAGCACAGCAATGGAGCAAAAGCGTTTGGACCTTCGCTTGTTGTCACCCACTCTTCGTAACCTTTGGTTACTACTAGTTACTTCTCTTTGGATAACTCAACTGTGTACTTGTATACTGGCTTACTGTTCATTTGATTTTCTTTGCTAAGGTGTTACTTGTAATGAAAATGATAATGAAAAAAATGGCCATGAAGTAACCAGCTGGAAAGTACTTTCCCCAGATGCTTTTGAGGTACAGACCTTCAAAAATATTATTAACATTAAAATAATCCTTGTTATCTCTATCCTTAAACCCTCTTGCCTTATTCTATTTTGGTGTACATTCAGTGGGAAGCCTTCTTGCAATATCTTCTGGTTGTACTGTTCATGACATTTCTATAGTAAAACAGTTATACTTTAATTGCATCTGTAACTGTTTCTGCTCTTGAGCAGAACTTTCTTGTGATACAGTGAGTGCATAATATGGTAGACACCTCTCTGTTACAGGCAGACAAATATGGACAGGAGTCAATCAAAATGTGCCAAACTTTTTTATCCACTGAATTGGTAAATACAGCACAATTTTATTGTTTTAGATTTTACATATTTTTATTTGGCAAATTTACTCCATAGGGTGTGGGAGACTATGAAGCAGCATTCTCTGATGAAGAAGGTGCGAAGGGTGAAGATCCAGCTTATAAAGACTTTGCCTTAGCATGTGAGTCTAATGCTTCAGTATCAGAGGATACAGCCGCGGTAATGGAGGAGGATTCTCAAGACTGCAATCAGCGCAGTAGCGAGAGTTCTACAGGGGATTCTGGCTCTGAATCAGCTTCAAGACCTTTATCACCTCCTCCAACATCAACACAGTATTACTACTTTTATCAAGGTAAGATGAATATCAGTTTGCTATTTGTTACTTAATGTTCACCACAGCACAGATGAACCAAGGGCCGTGAGGCCACTATGATTGTTGCCTCTTGCTGTTTTCATGGAAAATAAAGAAGAAAAACAGAGCCAAAAGAAATCATAACCTATTTGATTTTCTGCCTACTTGTTGTATTTACCCGGTGGCAGCTGCGATACCGCAACTTATCAGTGATGTCTTAGCTTATAACAAAAGAAAAGTAATTCACCTAATTTGTTATCATTGTAGCTGATGATGGTCAAAATATATTCCTGAGCTCCTTGAATGCTCGTTGCTTGATAAAGGTGAGTATACTGTGATTTTTTTTAAATTCAATTTTAGCTTCTGTAAGTAGGTTTTTTTTGGCTTGAAAATGTTTTCTTTGTATTTCTGTTGAAGTGGAATACTATTACTTATTACTTTTTTTGAACACTTTTTACCTCCAGGAATATGGAAGTTTGGAGAACAGCCCAGAATTCATCACTGGCCAGATTCTTGAGATGGATGCCTTGTCACAAAGTGAGGTTAGTCAAGAATTAAAATCATGAAAGAATTCAGGTTCATGAAAGTTATCGGGGTGTTTTGTGTTATTGTACTTGTCGAATTATCACTGAAGCAATGTAGTCAAGTCAATGTAGTCTTGCACAGAGTATGAACACAGAGCAAGCCGGCAAACCATGTGAGCCATGTGAAAAAATAAAAAAATTTGAAAAGAAGTAATACGAATGAAGATCGGAGGGCAAGAGGAAGACCAAAAACTACTTGGAGACGGACAGTCGAGACAGAGTGAAACAAAGCGGGGTGGAAGAGCTGGGAAGTTGCCAAAGCACTTGCACAAGACAGAAAATGTTGGTCAGTCACTGTAGATGCCTTATGCGCCTACTGGTGCGATAAGAAATGATAATGATGATGAATACGGAAAACATTAACTAAAAGCTAACTGTTGTAAGTAAGTATTTAAGCCTAAACAGTGCTTAAGCTTAACCCCTGTTAGCTAAATGAGCACTTAGCCCTTGTCAGTGAAAGTTAAGATTGAGTTATTCTACAATTTTTCCAGCAGCCAAAAAACGTCAAATACCCATAGGGAACTAAGCAGGAAACTGATTTCTCATGTATTTGCAATTTCATAAAACTTTATTAATTTTTTCCCATGGCTTGCAGGAGTAACATGGCTCGCTGGCTTGCACAATTCTCCTCCCTACTAAAACGACACTTTGTGTCATTGCGTGACAACGACGGTTTGTGTCATTGCGTGACAATAGTGAGTCTACGCAACAGGACGGCAGAAAGAAGAGGACGGCAAAGCGCTCATGTGTGACAAACGTGATAGGGCTATTACTCGTGTGTTTTGTTGTGATCATTATTTAACATTATGTTTTCTAGTCTTTTACAAACATACTCGTTTCAAGAAAAGTGAAGTTGGGCCGAAAGTTTGTTCAAACAAAATTATTGTCACGCTTGTCACACAAGGTTTACCGTCTTCTTCCTCTCCCGTCCTGTTGCGTAAGTTCACTAATTTTGTGTCGTTGCGTGTCATCGAAAAGAACTAGTACCATTGTACCGACAAACTAATTAACTGGTCCCTCCAAAACAGAGTTCACCTGATGGCAATTGCTATTGATGCGTTATTTTACACAATACTTTCTTTCTTGTTGTTTAGGCACTTCGTAAAAAGTATCGCTATTTAAGCCACCTTCCTCTGACATGTGAATTTGTCATCTGTGAGCTGGACATCAAGCCACCCACTTTGTCACGAGAAACACTCAGTTTCTTTAAAGGTATGTTGTAGCCTTTCAAGGAAATAAAACTTTAATCTAATTTGTGATTTTTTGCCCGTAGACAGAGGATCTGTAAGTGAATCTAATATTAACTGGTAATGCTTTTATGCTAAAGAAGACAATGAGACCTCAGTGACTCTTAATGTAACGTCAAATTAAAATTTTTGGATGTGATAGTTATAAGTCCCACTACTAAGTCCTTCTCGCTGACTTTTTTGCTCACAAGCTGAAGGACAGTAACACAACTTGAAAGAACTAAAAAGAAACTACCTTTCTTCCTTGTGAATTGCATATTTTTTCAGTCATGCACTCTGATGCAAATTGTACCATTTTCAGTGCGGCTTTAAGCACTTGTGACAGACATTTGTGTTGCATCTGTCACTATTATTTTAACTTTTTGTTTCTTTTTTCAGAGGAATTACAGCGTCGGAGACATCAGCGGCAGAAAAAGTTAAGAATGGAAAAGAGAAGAGAACAGAAGTCTGTCACCACTGCCGCTACTTCATATAGTTCTGCTGATAGATCTGCCGCCAGTGAGTATTTATTTTGTATGTTCAGTTAAAAACTTCGCGGAAAAAAAAGACCTTATTTGGTAGCAAACGTTCAGCCTCTTCTAAACAACCAAGCGTTTTCCCTGAACATCACGTTTTTCTAGCAAAACTTCCGCCTTATGGGTTTCACTGTGTGACAGAGTCGTAAAGCTACCTTGTGCCAACAATGTTGGGAGTTGTTGCGTCCGTGTTGGCAGTGGTGTGCAAACGGATGCAAAAACTCCCAGCAATGTTGGGACCTGCGGTGCATCGAAGGAAGGATACACCCATAAGACGCATAAGATGTAGAGAACATGTGTAATGCGCGTGCGTGGTCCCAACAATGTTTCTGTTTTGCTTCAAGGTAGGTCCATGGTTCCTGAACCCCTGGATTTACAACTGGCTAGTGATTTAGAGTTCCCTGCTCAAGCTGGAGGGCAGTTAGCCTTCTCCCCACCCAGCAACTCTTCACCCAGTCCATTCATGCAGTTTGCAGCTTCTTTGGCCAACCAAGGTAAGAGAACTGACAAAAAATCATGACCCTAATCCAGATAGGCAGCGAAAATGTCTCCTTCTACGAAAAGCGCGAACTGCCTTTACACATACAGGCCGCTTTGCAGGTTAGTCGACTTAAAAATTGACGCACGCAATATACAGCTATTTCGAGAAAGGTTGTCGGAAAAAGTGCACGCGACAATCCCGAAAGGTATTGTGGGTAGTTTTGAACACTGCTCTTCAAAGAAATTTGAAAGAACGCAAGAGAGGCCATATACTTATGTTTGCCAGTACTAAAGAAAGCAACAAAAGTAGGTTCGACAGCTACAGTGTCAGGAACAGTGATTGTGTATTGATCATATCCCATATTACCTTTTGGGACTTTCGCGTGCACATTTTTTCCGACAACCTTTCTCGAAATAGTTGTAAGGTAGGCGAGAAGCTTCGTTGGAGCGAGAAGCTTCCTCTGTCAGGCAGGGTAAGTTCAACTGATCCTACTATTCAAACGAATATTGTTTTTCGTGTAAGCACATAAAAGTAATTCTTCACCCGAAAAACAACCACAGTTTTATACATTTACTGTGAACCGATTTGATAGCGATTTAATTCGTGTCGTTTTTGTTGGTACAAGAGAAGGCGTGGCGTGTATTCGCACCAAAGTATGGACTGATGGTGCTTTAGGGTTACTTCTGTCTTACTGTGTGGTGACAAAGGCCTTGAAAAAATGGATTCTTTCCTTGATTAGTCTTTGTAAAAAGTTTAAGGTCTGTGTGAATCTCTCTGGTGAATTCAGCCACTCTATGTCACTTCTAAATACCGTCAGTTGAATCAAAACATGCTCACCCCATTACTGTCGAATTGTCTGCAGATGACTGCGATGTGACAGTGACTGAAGCGGAAGGAGCGAGTGCGCAAGACAACTCGGGACCTGGGCCCCCATCGTTTGCTCAGGTGAGTCTTGATGGAGTAAACTCCCTTGTCAGTGGAACTCCGCTATAACGAACCTCGCTATAACGAAGACCCCGTTATAACGAAAAACATCTGAAAGCCTGGCAGAATTACAATAAAATGTGTGGAAACGAACCCCGCTATAACGAATAGATTTTGACGGTCCCAACGCACAATTTACCTTTACCCCGCTGTAACGAACATTTTGTCCGGTCGCTCTCAGCAGTCAGTAAAAAAGACAGATTTGAATAGAAATCACAGCTTGCTTTAATTGAAAGTGTTTTTGAATTTGATGTCTTGATTGTCAGCGCTTTACACACTTACAGTTTACAGTATCAAATGAATAAAAATAATGTCTTCTACGTGCAGTATTAAATTTTTGGTAATTGTTCTTTATTAAATGACCCCGCTATAACGAATATTTTTGCTGTTAATTAGATAATTCGTCATAACGAAGACTTCGCTATAGCGAACAATTTTTTCGGTACCGTGGCACTTCGTTATAGCGGGGTTCCACTCTATAGACGTGTGATTCTAACTCAGGCAGGCTAACCTCTGAACGATAGAGTAAATATGTCAAGTTTCTGAGGCGGAAACGTAATAAATGGGAACGTAATTTGGTTAATATTTGGTTAATACTGGAAGGAAGTAACTACAGGGGCCAGTTTTAAAAACAGTATCGTCAGACGCCGTAACGGAAAACGCCTGTTTTGTTAAAAACAAAAAGTATGACTGGGCTGAAAGTGAGACCAGCTCTTGCGATTGAAGTCTCGAAGTACTTAAAGAAGAACGAGTAACGTGTTTCAAGCAGCCCATTTAGGAAGGGTTATCTGTACCATACTAGTTTTTCACGCTGTTCTTTTCCCTTTTAGGCACTGAGATCCAAGAAGGCTATTGAAACAACTAAACGGGTAGAGAGACCCCAACCCAAAGGTAAGAATAAAAATCTAAAATGGCTTGTTTGACTTACGGCGGCGCACTTGGGCGATCGAGGCATAAGGTTTCCAACCATTCCTTCTCTCCGGGTCGCGTTTTCATAACTTTGTCCCCTTCTCACCAAACAAACCGCCAGCCACGCAGGCTAATAATTACCTTCACCACTTCCAAGTAAACACAGATTAAGGTAATCCAGTGAACCGAAGTAATCCACACTATGCAAAGTAAGTTTGATAGCGCTATCCACAGGATAAATCACTGTCCAGTGGACAAGTATCAGGGAAACCAACTGTGTTATCCACTGATAGTTAGCCTGTGTACAGACGCCCCCTCCTCTCAAAGAAAATCTCTCCCTCCTCCTTTTGAGGGGAGGGTTCGGCTGTACACAGGCTACTAATTGTAAATTATACAGTGGATACCACTATTATATGCACTTTTTGAACAACTGGGTTCAAGGTAACATCTGGTTTTTAGCTCTCAATCTTACTGATCTCATTTAGTTAATCTTACTGATAAGCAAATGAGCGAATTTTTTCTAGTGACATTTAGCAATATTGTGACCCTACTGAGTACAATATTGATGTCCTACTTTACAGTGATAACGAGGATACCAGCTTGGGCTGAAGTTGCAGATGACGAGGACTATATACCAGTTCCCACTTTCCAGTCGGCCTTTACTGAAGCCCTGGGTGCAGCAGATTGGACCATAAGTAGCGGAACAAAATCAGCAGGTCAAGGTAAGAAGTTTGATCCCAATTGATCATTATCTATTTATTTATTTATTTATTTATTTATTTATTTATCTTTGTTCCGTAAACGCCTTTTTAGTGGTGAAGCGACTAGGGTTCTCTGCTGTTCTTGGTTCGATTACCCACCAGAGTTTGGGAAAATGAGCCCGTTCTCCCCCTCCCCCGCCCTCCCTCCAACCGAACGTTTCTCCGGGAGAGAAACAAAGACCGGAGTCGGGAAAGTGGCGCAAATCGAGGCTGTGCTGATCCGGAGGGATTACCCGCCGCCATTTGGAAAAATGAGCCCGTTCTCCCGTCCCCTACCCCCTCCAACCGAACGTTTCTCCCGGGGAGAAACATTAAAGCGGTGGAAATCGAGGCTGTGCTGATACGAAGGGCTATACAGGGGGCAGTAAACTTTTCAAGATAGGATAAACCTTATCAGGTTGGCCGCAAAGGTAGAAGCCAGACTAGACCTTAATTATTAGAGGAGCAAACCCTAAGAAAAAAAATCGTGGGAAGACGGCATTGCTCCAGCAGTGAATAAGGATATTCATCAAACAAACTGATTTATTCTCCTCTGATCGTTGAGATCCCGTACTTGCATATACAACGAACAATAATTGCAGTAGCGACCACTAGCTTGTTATCAGGTTAAGACTTTTAGTGTTGGTATGGAAGGCGTCTTTCATTGAGGGACATTGGGAACAACGTAAGTAATAATTAGAGACGAGAAATATCTGCGCGCATGGTGAAGCCGTCACCTTACGACTCATTCTTCACTCCTTTTGTAAAAGCGCTCCACCCACGTTTCTCGTTATTCCTGAGCCACTTTTGCTAAAGGCTGTTTGTAGCTCGGAACGTTACCCCTAGAACCTTAAACTGACCGGCGTTAGTCCAATTCGTCTCACTTGCAACACTGTACAACAGTTTCTTTAGAAACTGACCCCAGCTGGCTTAGACACTGCGTAGGGTTTATTTGTTGATGATCTTCTTTCTGTGGTTGTGATTCAAATCTTCTTCCAACCAGCTGTTTGCTTGTTCCTTCCCTTATCAGGCGCTCCTGAGGAACAAAGCAGTGGAAAGAAGCAAAAGAAAAACAAAAAGAAACTTCTTTTTACCACTGGCAGCTTCATGAAGTATTCATAAAACATATTAAATTAGACTCTGAACACCGGTGTAATGCTATCCGTGTCAGTATAGGGTGTTAATTTTGAACAATTGCGAGTTCATAGTCGCCGACTTCGGTGAAAATTTGTAACACTTTTCTGAAAGGTTTATCGGAAATAAAAATCATCATTGAAATAGTGACGATGTATGTTTCCAAATTCTTGACAACTGTAGACTCCTCGTCCACCAGATCTTAAAGACCGTACTTTCGTCAAGACGGTTCCAGTTGGGAACCATGGAAAGTGTTGTGGGTTTTGTTAGGCTAGAATTCATTGGCGGTTTTCTGTTGAAAGAGACGTTTACTATCCGTGCAAGCATGTCTACTGGGTGTTTGTGGAGTTGTGCGCATGTGCAACAAACTCGAAAGTCCTTTATCATCTGTTGCACGAGGAAAAAACGGTGATGTTAGACAACCTTACTGTGAGCTGCATGTAAAATTCTGTGACGCCCTTTCACTGTGTATATATGTTGGCTGGGATATTCTTCTAGGCATCACACCAAGTCTCGTCGTTAAGAATTTGTCAACTTATGAGGATGGCGCCACTTTCAGTTTGTCTTCTTACGGCGGAGTTTGTGTTGAATACTTTCATAGTACTACTGAACGTTTTAATAGCAAAAGCTTAAATACTACACCTTGGTTAGCCAGCCCTGGTTGTTCAAACGCTGGATTGCACTAGATCCACTGGATTAATCACTGTTCCATTGAATAAGTATTAGGGGAACCAATTTTGTTGGGGCCAGATCTCTCCCGGTGACTCCAACTTTATAGGGATATTAGGTAACTGTTATGCAACGTGAAAAATTCAAAGGAAGGCTACTAAACAGGACTTCCCCTTGCAAATGGTTGTGATGCTGTTTAAATAAGAGTAACTTTCGATCCTGTGAATAAAATTCATTGACGTAGCAATTCACGCGAACGCCATGAATCGATTGTCCTAGGCTTTGGGCTCAGCCTGAGATATTGAAAGCTTGGTGTTCCTGTATGAAACATCTGCAAAGCTTCTAAGCTTCTTCTATGTCTGTGAATCGTAAAAACAACTTTCGAGTTTTATTTTGGCCCATAACGATTCCGCCATAGGCCTTCTTCCCTGTCCTTGAAAGTTAGCGGAAAAACGTTGGTCACTAGCCAACAGAATAAAAAGGTTGCCCAGCAGCTCGCCGTTGGTGTTCACGGTTCATCTTCTTCAGAAAGACGAAAAACATAACAAAACAACAACGGAAAACAGGGCACAAGGGTATACTTGAAAAAAGAAGGAAAGCCTGTGTACACACCGACCCCCTCCCCCTTACCCCTACTTCCCTCCGGAAAAAATGGGAGAAGAAGCCCCGTCTGCAATTTTTTCCTGATCGGAGGGGAGGTTTGTACACAGGCTAAAAGAAGGGAGGAACAGCAGGGAATGGACCCTCTCTCCTCAACTGAGAATCGAAAGTGCCGGAGAGGACCCCCTGCTGCTACGCTGACCAATATTGAATGCATGCTCAACATATGCCAGCTCTGTGAGTGTGTATTTACCAGCGCGCAACTAACTGTTTTTCCATAAGATGTGTAACAAGCTATGCAGTATGGCTTGCGAGCTCACAGGGCTTCAAAAACAGCTGCTTGAAGCACTGTTCGAGAGCGGTCTTTCCAGGGATTCTCTCTTGTCAGCGTACGATGCGCTGTGCGATAAACAGGCAGAGATATCAGAAAGCGCAGATAGCACGGACGAAGCGGAGCCTGAAGATGTAAAACATGTACCAAGCAGCAACGAGCCAGAACGAAATGTGCCAGGCAGAAGTGACGCCGTGAAATTCGAAGAATCACCTCGGCGAACACAGCCGCAAGGCACACGCTTGGAAGAACAACAACAAATGAATTTGCTTGATCATATGCTCAGGTATGGTGTATATTTACTATATCTTAAATGCCTCATCCGCTTCTGCTTCTGTGTAGACACATGTGGGTCATGAGTTATACTGATCGATCAATTCCACACAAATCACTGCATTCGGTTCGTCGTTAAACTACAATCGATTTCTGATACAAACGTTTTGTGAAAAGGTTTTCATTTGTAATATGTTACTTATACTTCCAATTTATATTTAACCGGTTTCTTTAAAATTTTGACCTCCGCTTTTTGCGCTCCTCTCCAAGTGATGCCTCTCATTCAGCCCATTCTTTTTTAGAATCATTGTTTTGTAATTTCCTTGCGGCATGTCTTTGTTTTTGCTTGATAGATCAATTGTAACACATATTTAGGTGGCACGCGACGAAACTACTTTTGTCTATTTCAATGTTCGTTTCGAATCACTTACAAATTATAAACCTGAGTTGCATCTCACATGTAACTGCTTCGCGTCGTCAACACTTGTGAGTCACGCCGAAGAACTGATCCTTCCTTTTTCCATTGACGCCTTCTTCAGCAATTAAAAGGCCAGTGTTTTTTTATCAGAAGTTCGGTCGCAGTCGCCGGCCAGATTACGCTTTTTGCAAAGAGTTCCCGCCTGTGTGAAACGAACATGCTACAAGGTCGCTTTGCATTATTTATGAAATCGACTCCTGAGTTATTTTGCGTTTGTGAATATAAAATCCGTCGCGTTAATCATTTGCTCGGATACAACATAAGAAAGACAATTAAATATTAACTTCAAGAACACAAAGGAAGTCATATTTCGGGACATGAATATTTCAGTATTTGGCTTGGGGGAGCTCAAGCGAGGCGTATCTTTGTTGGTCACAAATCGAAGCCATGGTTGTTTTCGGCGACGCACAGTTTGATTTCTTCATTGATTGCCAAATCGTTGACAGATAAGAGCAAAGAAAGAAATAATTAAGCCTTTTTTCCTGCAGCTTTCGACCAACACTTTCGTACAAATCATCGATCGCTAAGGGTCAAAACGCGTTATTTCACTCTAGATCGATTTCACATGGGCTATAAAAGATTTGGAGTTGAACTAAGCGAGCTTGTAGGAAGGACTGCTTTATTACAAACGACGTGTTTTCACACCCTGTGAAACATTATCTCGTATGGCCATGAGAGAATTCCACCGTCGTTAACAAGCCTCACCGAAAACAATAATTACTTCTTTTCACCTCAAAGAACACAGTCTCTTAAAAATGGTTTACCTTTTTTTTTCAAGCATCCCGTAAACTGACTGAGCATTTTTTCGCGTATTCTTTCTGCCGTCTTACAGGTTTTGGTGAAAACCTTGTGCAGTTTGCCTCTATGACCGGAAGTAGGAATGTTTTTATTCTCACTGGTGCTTTAAAAAAGAAGACGTCTGACTTATTGATTTGAACTCTTTTACAGGGGTGCTTCACTTCAAGCATTCATTTTGAACGATTTTTAGTTTTTACATTAATATTTTTTTGTGTACGGAAGGTCGAGGGTTCAATTCCTATCTGGAACTCCAAATTTTTTTCTGTGTTCTCCTCTTCATTTATTATTAATTTTTTGGCGGTGGAAAATCATAATTTATTGGATGGACTAGGTTGATAATTTCCCATCATACGATAAATCTTTCTCAGAGTGCTTTCATTTCTGTGCCCTGTATCATTAACTGTTTTAGTACACGAACAAGGATATTGTAGGTTACCAAAGTTATAATCTTTGTAGTCCATAAATTTGTATTTGATTGAAAATAAAATAATTTACTATCCAGAAATAAATTGATACTTAAGTAGGAAATAATATTTTATTATATTTTCAATTTTCAATAATAAAAAACCTTCATGTACAGAATGTATTTGATGACCAGTTTTGTAGGAGAAATTCAAATGTCCTGATTTTAAAAACAATTTTGGCTTTTCTTGCAGTAGCTAGG